ATTTTGTGACTCAAAGCAAGCCAGTTGATCCTGGCTCATTATGAACAATATATATAAATAGTATAGAGAAATGCTGATCTATTCTTTTTTTCCTGAAAATACATCTCTCATACTTTCAGAAAAAACCTTTTCAATTTGTTTTGGTTTTTTTTTTCCTTTTGAAAAAGAATGAGCTTTTTTAAAGTTTCATCCAACTGTGTTCTACTCTTTGGTGCATAAACATTGATTCTTTCCGAGTATGGAAGCAGTTACTGTTTATAAACTGCTGCAGCTCAGTATGTGAAATGCATTGGAGAGGTATCAGTAATGACTGCTGAAGCCTCAAGATGCTGCAGATGCCCTCGAGGAGAACCTGTCAGCTCCTGCTGGAAACATCACACAGCACAATGGCACTAATATTTCCTAAAATTGTTTTGAGACAGCTTAGCTTAGTGTGCCATGTCTGCAATATGTTTATGCAGAGAGACCTTTTGTGTCCGTTTTTGGCACTGGTAAATTATTCCTGGCACAGATGGAGCTCATTTGCCTGCACCTTGCTAAGACTGCGGTGTTGGTGGCTGCAGTTTCCTTGAAGCTCCTGCCAAAGTAAATTGTGAAAGCTTTTAAACTATCAGGTTGCAGTCAGTCCTTCCTTGTGCCCTTCCTGGTGCAGATGAAGTTGTGCATGGCACCTGCAGAGGTACAGGGATCACATTTGCTGGGAATATCTCATGAAGTGCCCATCCTGTTCCTGTGCAGATGGGAAGGAGCACCTGGATCTGCACACCTTGGCTTTTTGTTTGCAGGCACGTTGGCAAATCAAACCCAGAGCTCTTCAGCCTGCCCAGCCCTGGGATGTGGCTGTGGAAATCAGTCCTGAGTTCATTGTCATTAGTGAGATGTCACTGTTAGAGCAGCAGAAGGAAGAGTAGCAAGGCCAGTTGTTCTTATTTGCTTTAGAATGCTGGAGCTTTATGGGAAGAACAGGAGTGATCTCAATGCTGACCAGAATTTCTGAAGAAAGCACAAAATCCTGATTTAGTCTTTTTTTTTGTTCTCTGCGATGGCAGGGTTTTGTGTTTAAAAACACAAACAAAAAAAGCACACTAACCCAAATAAATAATCCAGTGTTCACCCCCTCAAAATAGAAAAGCAACCTGAAAGGGTATTACGTGGTGATGTCACTAAAACGGTTTTTTTCATTATATGAGGTAACCTCTTGCTCTCACTCTGATTTAGACAGTTTTGTTTCCTTGTACAGGTATTTTGCACCCATTTTAGGAAGCTGGGGGGACTTATTGCCAGTAAAGAAGCATGGAAAGCATCCCTCCTCGAGAAGGAACCATTAATTATGGAATTTTTCCTTTTTTTTTTTTTTTTTTCCCTCTAGCCTAAAAGAATTCCTGCCTAAAGAATATACCAAACAAAGAGGGGCTGAAAAGAGAATATTTCAGGTAATTGTGAGGCTGAAAAATCTACTTCAGTTTTACTGCCTTTGGAAGAAAAACGTGAGCTTTCCCAGGGGTATACTTGGATTTACTTGATTATATAGCTATCAGAAAATCAAGTGCAAAGGATCTGACAGCTTCTATTTCATTTCTTGAGCAGATCCTGAAGAAATAAAATACCTGAACCTTTTGTCTTCACTGATGATTATCCAATATACATTGCTAAAAAGACAAAGTGAACATTCAGTGTTTTGAGATCTTTTTGTTGGTTGTATTGAAATGCAAAGATGTTTATTTGTATAAAGTAGGTGCACATTTAGGAAAGCCAGTTAGAATTCCATGCCTCGTTCAGTCATGAGCCTCAAGTTGTGCTGCTTCATGCTTGAATTCCATGGTGTGTCTGGGAATCCCACAGTTGTAGGAGGCTGGAGTAGCTGAGTATAAATGGTTCAAGCAGCTGACACTGCTGGAAGTGATCTCTGAGTGCTGGAAATGCACCCACCATCTGCCCACTCAAGCACAAGTTTGGCAATAACTTCCCGACAGTAAGTTGGATAATTCTGAAGTCACCAGGTGAAGTCAGGCCATGGTTTCTGGTAGGATACCCCAGTGTTTTGTGGCCTCAGCTTGGGAGATGAACTGAGGAGCAGGAACAGGTCAGGTGCTTTGCTGTGTCTGTCCCATCCCAGTGAGGCTGTTCTGCCTGCAGCTTCACTGCTTCCTTGTGGGTGAGTGGGTCTGATGCTGTTCCTGAACACCTTTGGCTGGGGCAGTTTAAGCTAAAACCAGCTTATTTCACTCCTGAGGATCACTGTCCTGCTGTTCATAGCAGGGGATTCTTGCCCATGTCAGATAGGCATGAGGAGTTTCAATCATTACCTACTCCAGTGCATGGACAAGTGAGGGCACTGGTGGTGGGAAAAGATACAACAGGAGGGTAAAATAAGTGAGCTGCCAGTCTGAAAAAAAACCCAGCTGCTTCCCAAATTACAAAATTTTGGAGTTTGGCAGGTGGTTTTTACCAAACATTCCATCTGCAATGGCTATATTGGTGCTCCTTGGGATCCTGGTTGTTTTCTGGGTGCTGAACTTGGCAGATGTGATCAGCCTGTGTCCCTGGGATGCACAGGGTTCTGGCAGCTGCAGCTGCTCCTCTTGGAAGGCTGTGAGGTGGTAGCAAGTGGAGCAGGAAGGCGTTTCCCGCGTTCTTGGTGCTCCCCCTGCTGCCATCAGTCACCAGGGCAGGGTGGCAACAGCAGTTCACAGTCACGTGGAAGATGGGGTGGGATGGGGAACCCCACAAACAGCATTTAAACAGCAAGGCACTGGGGTGTGATTTCCAGCAGAATGGGCTGGACTGGGAGAGCAGGTGCTGAGGTGAAGTTTGAAGCCATAAGATGGGTAGCTGTCATTACATACCAGTAATCAAGTGTGCTAATGAATAAATGCTAAAATAATAAATAGAGACTGAGTTACAAGACACACCTAGATGAGCTGTTCAGAAAAATCATCGTTTCTTCCTCAGCTCTAGAATTTTTTGCACGTGATGGAAAAAGATTGTGGATAATGTTGCAACTGGCCAAAAAAAACCATTGAAAGTACTTCCAAGAGATGAGAAATGGTCAAGTACCAAGTGTGAGGCTCTCATGAGTCAGAAGTTTTGGGCACAAAGCAGGAATAAATAGTCTCTTTCTGGAAAAAAAATGTGGGTGCTGGGACATTTAAATTATTTTTAAGAACTGAGTGAAGAGGCTTGAATGGTATGAAACCCAATAGTGTCAAATAGCAGGAATAGCCCGAATTTAAAACTGTGTCAGAAATGGTTTAAATGTGCTTGATCCGAGGCACACATTGAATGGATGGTGGCCAAAGAGGAGTGTTCTGTTTGCACAGGTTGTTTATGGTCTCTGATGTGAGGAATTCAAGTCTTGCTAACATTTCTACTCAGCATTTTTTCAAACCTCATTGTAATGATTATTAACTAACCCTCCTGAAACAGATAAAAGCTGTACCCTTTTTTTTTTGGTTTCCAGAAAGCTTTGGCTGTGCCTAATTGCTGTTGCCCTCTCATTGCAGGAGCACAAGAACTGTGGGGAGATGACTGAGATAGAAGCCAAAGTGAAGTACGTGAAGCTCGCCCGCTCGCTGCGCACCTACGGCGTGTCCTTCTTCCTGGTGAAGGTAACGTGGCTCTTGCTGTGCCCACTGCACCCTTGGTCATGGATTACCTCTGATTGCACACTAAGCAAACCTTTGTTACTTCAGTCACTAAAATATTTTAGTTCTCTGGGGCAGTGAGAAGAGTTGTAAATTGTCACCCTCTGCACGCCCGTTCTTCCCTTCGTGGGTGGGTATATTCCGTGTTGCTTTTTTCCCTTCTGAATGGAAAACAAACCTTTCCCACCTCGTTCCAGGAAAAAATGAAAGGCAAAAACAAGCTGGTGCCTCGCTTGCTGGGTGTCACCAAGGACTCGGTGATGAGGGTGGATGAGAAGACCAAGGAGGTGCTGCAGGAGTGGCCCCTGACCACCGTGAAACGCTGGGCTGCCTCCCCAAAAAGCTTCACTCTGGTAATCCTGCTGTGTGTGTGCAGAGGAAGAGGGATTGGTGTGGCAAGGAGAGAAAGGCAAAGATGGCCTTAGAACAGTTCCTGTCGTGTAACTTGTTCTCTCTCTAATTTTCTAGTGTTATATGGAGTAACTAAGTCCTCAAGTAATAAATTGGCCCATATTTGCCTCTGAGATCAAACTGTAGGTTGATGCTTCTAGGCAGACCAGTTCCTCAGAAGTCCTGTTTAAATCTTTTCAGAAAACACTGTTTGCATCTGGTTTGTGCCTAATTACTGAAACATTGAAGAAAACACTTTTATTCTCAGCTGTGTGAACTGTTAAGGTGCTTGTCATTCACAATGTGTTTCGTGGCTGGTGAGATATGAACGTAAACCAAGTCAGATGGTTCATTGACACCTTTAACAGTTATGAAAGAAGTTTCATGAATGTGATATTTTGTTAGTTATTTGGTCCAGAGGAGACCACTGCAACATTCATTTTGGATATGAAAAGGTTACTTAAAGTGGTAGAGCAAGAGGCAGAGGGTAGAAAATTCCATTCACTTGATTCACATGCATCTAATTTCTGATTGCATGGATGATTATGCTCTAGGATTGAATTCTCAAGACTTTGCTCCATTCCTAAGTGACCAAGTCTGATAAAATTAGACAAAGTGTCTCTTGGGCATTTCAATTTATGAAACATGTGTGATTAAGCTGGAAAAAAAGCATTCTTGTCTCTTCCCTCACCCCTACATAGCCTGGTTTAGACTCTTGGAGCAATTTCATTCACTGTTGGATATAATAAAATGACTATACAAACAATTTAAAAATCTGAATGCTCTCTTATTTAGTACTGTTTCTTACTTAGCATTCTCAAAGAGGTTTGGGGTTTTTTTTCCTCTTTTTCTTCAGGATTTTGGTGAATATCAGGAAAGCTATTACTCGGTACAGACCACTGAAGGAGAACAGATCTCTCAATTAATTGCAGGTTACATTGATATCATCCTGAAGAAGGTACAGTATAAACATCTTGATATGTAGTAAACCAACCTACATCATTATTTACTGTAATAGATTTTAATAGGAAAGAAATGAGGAAGTTGGAATTGATTGCCTGTGCTCACAGTGTAGGGTGCAAGGAGAGGTTGAACAGGATGGCCAGAACTCATCCCAGGATGAGCCTCTCCCTCTGGCACTGTCAGTCTCAGGTTTAAGAAATGTCAAATAAATGGCAGGTTCCTATAGCTGGTTTAAAACTTGATTCAGAGGTAGCTTTGCTCTCTAATGCCAAATGGAAGCAGCCTCCTGTCTTCCCAGAATAGGATGCAGATGTGTGGGTTTCCATTCCCAGGCCTTGGATTTTTTTTCTTTACCATCTGCTGACACGTTGAGTTTAAAAGGAGTGAATGAGGAGCAGGTTAAACAGTAAACACCCGTGGTGAGTGTGAGAAGCTGCAGTTCCCAGTTGTTGAGCCCACATTATCTCAGTGATGCAATGCCTCAAAGGGTGGTTCGTTGCTCTCAGTGGCATAATGTTAATTCTTGCTGCGTTTTGGGCTGTTCCAACTCACTTTCTCTGGTGTGGATTGGTAGGTACGCTGTTTCCTGCAGGTTATGTTGTCCCTCGCTGCCCAAAGCTTGGTGTTCAGCACCAGACAAGGCTCTGCAGATACTTTGATCAGCTTTGTGATAAATGGCAAGGGGAGTGGTGGAGAGAAAGCAAAAATGAGCACATTGTTTAACTTAATTCTTTTTCCCCTTCCTCCAGAAACAAAGCAAAGATAGATTTGGGCTTGAAGGTGATGAGGAGTCAACCATGTTGGAAGAATCTGTTTCACCTAAGAAGTGAGTGTAAACAGCAGGAGGAAATGCTCTTTCCTTGAGTGCCACAATTAGCTGCAGCAGCTCTTTTCACATGAAGTAGGACAGTTATTGCTGTTAAGGAGTGGTTTTCCACAGAGTATTTCAATAGAGGTGCTGCCCCCAGGCAATCCAGCAGGCTCCTAGGTTCCTTCAAGGATTGAAGAGCAGGTATCTGTCACGAGATTGTTGGTTAAGGGCACCAGCAGTTTGTGCTCACTTGACCCTTGAACAACAGAGCTCAGGCTGTAATTCAGCAAAGTGCTGGGGGGGAGAGGGGGATAACCAAGCAGAGCTGAAAATGTTGTGTTAGTTTTTTGATCTTGATGCAAAAATGCAGGATTTACGAGGTTTGAGTTGCTTGTGTCTGCTGGTTCTGTGGTTTGCAGTAAATGTGACTCTACTCACTGTCAGTGTAGTTGTACACTGTGTTATAACAGTGTATATATAATTATATATAACAGGATATCTGGCTTAGCAGCCAAACCTATCAGATATTTGGGGTGGGGAAGGGTCAGGGTTTGTTCTGATAGGGGAATATTTGTTAGGCCAGGCATGGTTTGGATGGGGAAGGAAGTGAACACAGCCAAAAGCAGAGCTGTGAGCTGGCCATGCTCCTGAACAGCAATGTGAAATCCTTCTGTGCAGTGAGAGAAGAGAAACAGATTTTTGACATCATGAGCTGTAATAAAACACTCAAGTCTCCTCTTGGAGCTCTGAGGATGGCAGTGTCAGCAGTGTGTATGTGAAAAGTCCACTTGATTTATTGTCAAGCATAGGGTTTATATGAGATAGACTTGTTAGGGAGTTAATGTGGCCTTATGTGTAATTTCAACTTTCTGATGGGTCACACGTGTTCAGACGGGCTTTATTTTGACATGGCCCTTTCCAAATCACCTCCAGAATATACTGTCAGCTAAGTGCTGTGCAGAGAAGCCCAAAACTTGTAATAGATAAATACAAGGTTTTTTCACAGTTGAAATCACTGTTTTTCCCCCAGCAGAGTGTTATTGTTAAAGCCTGAATTTCTGTCAACGCTTCTATTAGAGCTTGAATCATATTTAAATATGAGCAGCACATCTGGCAAAGCAGCTCATGACCATGGATGGCAGTAACTTTATTTATTGTTCTTGAAAGTATCCTGCCCCTCAACCCATTATCTGATAGAATGCCAGATTATTCATGAGTACTGTTGTGCTTATATGTAGGAAGGTGAAGGAGAGAATGTCAGTTTTTACCCCAGTTCTAGGAAGTGCTTGCAAAAGACATCCCCACAAGGTTCATGCTTTTATTTTCTATCAATCAGTCAAAGATACAACTGAAACAAAGCAGTTGTTATGCCATAAACCCATTTCTGGTTCTGTCTGCCAGGCATCTGCAAGGGTTAAAGCATTTGTACCGTGTGTACCAAAACTGCACATTGCCTTTCCCTTGGTGCCTGCTCTTTAGTGCTATTAATAATTATCTTTGATTAAGAATAGCTTTATTTTTATTATAAATTATTATTTTAGTAAGAATATTATAACAATATAATAATAGGCGTAGTAATAAATCTGCCCAAAGCCCTGGATTGTTTTTCCAATATATTAGGAAATGATTAGAAAGGAAAAGCGTTAACTCCTCCAGCTTCTCCAAACGCTGTCAACCGCAGTTTAAAATCCTGCAGGAAGAGCAGCTGGCAGAAGCTGAGTGGCAGGAGCTCCCTGACTGTGTGTTGGTGGGGTTTTTTTTGCAGGTCCACCATCGTGCAGCAGCAGTTCAACCGCACCGGGAAGGTGGAGCACGGCTCGGTGGCGCTGCCCGCCGTCATGCGCTCGGGCTCCAGCGGCCCCGAGACCTTCAACGTGGGCATCATGCCCTCCCCCCAGCAGCAGGTCACCCTCGGGCAGATGCACAGAGGACACATGCCCCCGCTTGTGAGCAACCTCCTGCTTTTGTGCTGGGAACTCATCTCTGTGTGTGAAACTTGTCTGCGCTGCAAGGAGTCAGGGACAGTTTTATACAGATTTCGAAGAGCTTTAACTTCCTGGCTTTCCTACCAGACATAAGTTTTGAGTGTCCCTGGCATATTTAGGGTATCACTTTTTATTTCCTTTATTTCCTATAAAAGCAGGCTCTTCCAGCCTTCTCTTTACTTCTTAAGTAGTTAAACCAGTATTTAAGGGTAAAAAAGGTGGTTTAAAGGCTGGCAAAAGTAAGCAATTTTAAAGAAAAGGCTTACCTTCAGCTTATTACTAGCCCACCAATTTAGAAATTTTTTAGTAGACTTGAGGCAGATAGTGTGTTTTCTCATTTACATTAAAAGGCTTTCCAAAGCCCTGAAAAGTCTTTGAGAATATAATCAATACTTAAGATCATGACATACTACTAGGAGAATTGGTTTTTCCCCCTCTCTGCCCTGTGATGTTTTGCCCTTTCTGACAGCTGCTTTCCCAGAGGTGCCACAGCTGCTGGGCTCAGCTGTGTCCTGTTGGCTCTGTTGGTGTGCCCAGCGTGAGAGCCCCTGGCCTCTGCTCTCAGAGGCCACCCCTGCAGCCAAAACTGTGCCACAGACACCCAACACAATCTGCATCCTGCTCTGCCTAAAACCCTGCAGATGGATGTTAACCCTTGCACAGTGCTGACGGTTTAGAGTCGTCCTTGATTACGTCGGTAGCTGTCCCAGGAAATCAGTAAGGATATCCTAGAGGCACATTGAGTTGACGTGTTCCTTGAATGTAGGTCAGTAGGAAAGCTCTGTGGTGCTCTGTGTCTGCTGGTCATGGTTTGATGTGAGAAAGCTGAAAGGTGTGGAAGTTCAGAGGAGTGTGAATGACACAGGTGAGAGACTGAGAGAGAGATTTGCTTTCTGCATTGCACCAGGGGAAGGCCAGATCTGAAATGACCTGGTGTGAGTGTCGGACTGTGGTCACTCCCTGGCTTTTGGTGCACGTGTCACATGTGCCTGGGGTGCCCTTGGGAACACAGCACCAGCCCTGTTTTGCCTTGCAGACCTCAGCCCAGCAGGCCCTGATGGGCACCATCAACACCAGCATGCACGCGGTGCAGCAGGCACAGGCCGACCTCAGCGAGGTGGACAACCTGCCTCCCCTGGGGCAGGACATGGTGAGTTCTGATCCCTCAGAGAAACCAGTTCTTATGCTATTGTGTTGTGGGCACCTGTACAGTTAAACACGAGCTGTGGGCATTGTTTATGGTGGGAGTGACTGGCACGTGAAAAATAAGAACAAAATCTGGTTCTATCGGTCCTGATCCAGGTTAGGGCACGAGGACAGAGAAAAAGGGTTATTGCTTGTAGGGGACCGTCAGTCAAGAGTGCTTGGCCTTCATGGATGCTCTTTATGGCATTTCCCTAAAAAGGGCAGCTGCTGAAGTGTGGTAGCAAATCTGTAGTGAAGGAATCAGCAAAAGGTGTTTGCTTTAACATTTCACTTGAAGGGCTTGCTGGCTGTCCTCTGGTTGACTTGTAAAAGTTCATGAAGGAAGGGGAGATTTACATGGTATCCCCTCTTACAGAGCCTCACTGCAATCTTTAATTCTTCTGCTTTGTTATTGCTCTTCAGGCATCCAGAGTATGGGTTCAGAACAAGGTGGATGAATCCAAACATGAAATCCACTCTCAGGTCGATGCAATCACCGCAGGAACTGCATCTGTTGTGAACCTTACTGCAGGTAAACTTCCATGGGAGGGGTTTCCTTGCAGTCTCCTGACATTTGTCAATCTGAATCACCGCACACAGGAACTGAGGATGGGGCAGCTGCAGAAAAGCTGTCAGTGGAACACCCTGGTAGTACACCAGTGTGAGGGACCAACTTGGTGTCCCTCCCAACACCGTTTTTATATCTTTGGTTTCTCTCTCACACCGAAGGTACAGCCATCAGTGAAAATAAAATGTAACTTGCTTATTCAATAAAGCAGAGAGTGTTTGCAAGCTTACCCCAAGAAAGCATTATTGACAGTTGTTAGGTTGTTATGTGTTTATTGATGATGTTTTTTCTTCAGCAAACTGTAAGCTGAAGGAGCTGTGAGTGGCTTAAACAGAACAAGACTCTATTCCTGTAGGTTCTTCCAGTATGGAAAGGTATCTGGCACTGTGGACTTCTCAGCAATTGCACTGAGTGAAGAGAAATTCTCTTAGAAGAAGAACTGTAGAAATCGGACGATTTAGAGCAGTCTAATCTTTTTAAAGTGACAAGTTTCTTAATAAGCATTGCCTGGCTGCCTTGAGATGTCTCTCAGGAGTGCAGTTAGTGGCAGCTGCCCCCGTTTGCCTTTGAACCACTAAAACATTCTGATCCTAGAAAACATTTGCTCTGCAGGGGACCCAGTTGACACTGACTACACTGCTGTGGGATGTGCAATCACAACCATCTCTTCCAACCTCACTGAGATGTCCAAAGGTGTGAAACTGCTCGCTGCTCTCATGGATGATGAGGTTGGGAGTGGAGAAGACCTCCTGAAAGCTGCTCGAACCCTGGCCAGCGCTGTCTCAGACCTGCTGAAGGCTGTGCAACCGACTTCAGGAGAGGTGAGCAGATGGAAATCCCTTGGGTTCCCTCTCTGAACTGCATGGCTGTGGGTTTTTTGAGGCTGGTTAGGTTCTACACTCACCTGTCCAGTGCTACACTCATGTCATGTTCCCTGTGACCGCTTCTTCATCCTCCATCTGTCTCTGTGCTTTAAAGTCTTGCACCTTGATATCAGAATGTTCTATGTTGTGTACAGAGGTTGATTTATGTAATAAATAGTTGATTAATGTGGGTACTGTGTTGTCTTTTAGAAACAAATTTCAAATAGTTCTGTGACTCAGTAAGATGTGGAGAGATACTCATTCATGGCTTTTTTCCTTACTCTTTTTGTCTACTTTGATACATAAAATGTGAAGTTAATTCATATGCTGTAGTTCTCCAGAAATGAGAGTAGTAGTGGCCAGGATAAAACCCTTGACTGGTGTGTTGTGATTTTGAGTCTGTAGACAGTTTGCCTTAGATCTCTTCGGGTAGTTATGTTCTGAAGAACATGAAATCTCCCGGTGTCTCAGATCATATTGACTGTCCATCCTTAATTATCCCTGCAGTTATGACAGCAAAGTCTGTTCAAGTTCCTCAGAATTCTTTGCATGTTGTCTGGGAACACATCAGATGAAATGCCTGAAATGTGGACGTGCAGTTGTGCACCTGGAAAAGTGAAGATTTTTCCAAAGTATTTCTGTTGTGAAATTATTTTGGGGCTGTTTAGATTGCCCAGCCATGCAGGATTTCTTGGAGGAAACCTAAACTTCAAGCCAAGCTCGTTTTCTCTGAATTTCATGTGTTTCACTGTCCCCTTTTTGCAGCCTCGACAGACAGTTCTGACTGCAGCTGGAAGCATCGGACAAGCAAGTGGGGAGCTGCTGAGACAGATTGGAGAGAACGAAACAGATGAAAGGTTCCAGGTAATGAGGGGGTTGATTGTCACTGTCAGAGCTGGGCAGCTTTCTGATGAGGAGGTCTCTGCATAAAGCCAGGCTTCCCAAAGTGGGCTGAGAAAATGCTGGAGCTTCTCTGTACTAATTGAGGTTAATCGGTTTTGAAGTTGTTTTTAATTACACAATCACAGAGTGCTGATTTCATAAGAACCCCTGCTTGGTTCTGTCAATCATCCAGAGGCTTTCATGCTTCATGGAGAGCTGTTTGCACTGCATTACTCCTCATTAGAAGGAGTAGTTTTCCTGTAGATGTTTGCTGTGTCTGTATGTGTGTGTGCCAACCAAAAGTTAATAAAACCTTCTGGTAGACTGAGTAGAAGAAAAAATCCCTATATTACAAACAAAATCTCTTTAGGATTAATAGTATTAGCAATTATAAAATCATAATGCCTCATGACTTAAGTGTTTGCTGTTAGCAGTTTAGGACCATTGTTCTTAAATGCCCTGTTCAAACCATGTCTGGGTTTTTTCACTTGATGCCAAGAGCAGGTTATTTTAACAGAACAGGCATTAAGAAGATTCCATCCCACTAAAAAACTCAGGTACATGGAATGTGGGATTTTAAGTGGGGAAATGGGAAGAAATTATTTGAACTTGTTCGTTGCAGGAATTAACACCTGAGCATGTTTTAATGTCACAGTTTCAGAGGAACTTAATTGTTTTGGTACAAGAGAAAAACATCCTGGAATTAGGACCTGTTTTGATTAGGAGCAATAATTTGTAGGGCTATATTTACATCATGGACAAGGAAAAACTGTGCTTGGAAAAGGCACTGTCCAAAAGGGAATTGCAGTTGTTTCTGCTGTTAAGCACAATTAAGTCCTTGAATTTGGTTATTAACTTGAGTCCTATCTCTCCTCAGCAGTTTTGTCCTTGAGGTTGTCACCCTTATTACAGATATTTATCACATGTTTGGTGGTGAACTGCAGGTGGTTTTGCATTAATAGTGTGTTCTCAGGAAGTGAAGATAAGCTCACTGCAGTTTGGGACATAGCTCTTCTCTTATGGACTCTGAGCTGATTGAGAACTCGACAGTCCCTACTCCTTCAGTGCAGTCACTTCATAGTGCAGATGGAGAAATGGTTGTACTGAGAACAGGAAGCCACTGGGTTTTGGAGCAATAGCTGTGGCTGCTGCTCTACACAAAACATGTTGAAGTTTTCATATAAAAGAACTTCTTACCTTCCCTTTGTGTTACCAGGACGTCCTGATGAGTTTGGCCAAAGCTGTTGCCAACGCTGCTGCCATGCTGGTGCTGAAGGCCAAGAACGTGGCCCAGGTGGCTGAGGACACGGTGCTGCAGAACAGGGTCATTGCTGCTGCCACACAGTGTGCACTCTCCACTTCCCAGCTCGTGGCTTGTGCCAAGGTGAGGCTGGTAGTGTTCCCAGGGTGCCAAGGCTGTGGATTCTCAAAAACTGAGCTAGTACCCAGCCAGCCCGCTCTGACTGCTCCGTGCCCTCTCCCCGTGCAGGTTGTGAGTCCCACCATCAGCTCCCCGGTGTGCCAGGAACAGCTGATCGAGGCTGGGAAGCTGGTGGACCGCTCGGTGGAGAACTGTGTGAGGGCCTGCCAGGCTGCCACAGACGATACCGAGCTGCTGAAGCAGGTCAGTGCAGCTGCCAGCATCGTCAGCCAGGCGCTGAACGACCTCCTGCAGCACGTGCGGCAGTTTGCCAGCAGGGGGGAGCCCATCGGCCGCTACGACCAGGCCACGGACACCATCATGTGTGTCACAGAGAGCATCTTCAGCTCCATGGGGGATGCTGGTAAGTGTCCCTGAGGAACAGCAGCTTCCTTGCTTTGCAAGGGGCACATCCCTGAGCAGTAGGAAGTAAAAATCCTTCTCTGACGTGTACAAGTGCTGTGATAGAATCACACAATCAGCTGGGTTGGAAAAGACTTCCGAGATCAAGTCCAACCCTTGATCCAACCCCGCTGTGGTTCCCAGCCCATGGCACTGATGCCACATCCAGTCTGTCCTTAAACACCTCCAGGGATGGTAAATCCACCCCCTCCCTGGGCAGCCCATTCCAAGGGCTGAGAACTCTCTCTGTCAAAATTTCTTCCCAATGTCCAACCCAAACCTCCCCTGGCACAGCTCCAGGCCGAGCCCTCTTGTCCTACTGCTGGAGGTGCCACCGTGGTCGTGTCCCGCAGGTGAGATGGTGCGGCAGGCGCGGGTGCTGGCTCAGGCCACCTCCGACCTCGTCAATGCCATGAGGTCGGACGCCGAGGCAGAGATAGACATGGAGAACTCCAAGAAGCTCCTGGCTGCTGCCAAGCTCCTGGCAGACTCCACGGCACGCATGGTGGAAGCTGCAAAGGTACCCGGGAAGGGCACTGGTAGGGCTGGGCACAAAGAGGAGGGGGAGGTGGGTCTGGCTGTAGGGGAGATGGTTCCTCTTACCCTGTAAATGTTCAGCAAACATGGAGGGGTTTTCTTGTTTTAAAAGCCGATTGTTGCACTGCTTTGCTTTCCTGTGTGCAGGGGGGTGGTGACTCAGGCCATCCAGGGCAGGACCACCATCCACAACCACTGTCTTGCACCAGTTCCAAGTGGAACAGCAGAAGCACAGCAGTCTGTTATAGAAACCATTAACAGAGCAACTCTCCTCTGTCTCAGGAACAGTTTCCTCCAGCTGATTTAACCTTTTCTTTCCTTTCTGTGCTGGAAACCTGTTTAAATCCATTAGGGAGAAATATATCTCCCTTTGAATTGTTTCCCAGACCCTGCACTGGAATGGGTTTTCCAGCAGCAGGGCCAGTGCTCTGCAGGGACTCCAGTCCATGTGCCTGGCTGCTGAGCATTTCCTTGGCTTCCCAGTCACTTCTCAGACTTCAAATGGAGAAAACTACTCTGTTAAACCTTAACTTTTGCATATTGAGTTGGGAATTTTAAAAACTGATTGTTTTTTTCTCAAACCCCCTTTCCTCCAAATCCATTATTACAGATCACAGGGGGAAGCAGTTTACAAAGGCTGTTTTCCCAAGCACCCAAAAAGATGCATGAAGCAAATGTTCAACTCCAATAGCTTTTACTGAGACTGGTGGTTTTTGCCCTGAAATCTCGCGCAGGGAGCTGCAGCCAATCCTGAAAACGAGGACCAGCAGCAGCGTCTGAGGGAGGCAGCGGAGGGACTGCGGGTGGCCACCAATGCTGCTGCTCAGAACGCCATCAAGAAGAAGATTGTCAACAGATTGGAGGTTGGAAACCAGATATTGTTGAATTTTCAGTTGGCTCCCTTTTGGTAACTTAAGATCTGTAGATGATTTTAGGGAAGTAGAAATGGCTATTTCAGTAGAAGTGCCAAGCATGGAAGGACAGCACAGTAAACTCAGTGCCAAGTACAAGGCTTGGAGTTAGGCATGGTAGGGTGTGAGTCCACAGTCCTCAGGAAATGGAGCACTTTGTGTCACTCATGTAGTAAAGTGTGTAAGGATTTCACTCAGAAGGCATTAGTCAGAAAATCAGAACAGCTGAGCTCAAACTGCTTCGTACCTGGTTGTATTTAGTGGGCCAGTTGGTGTTGGTATGGTGAAATACCTTGCATAAATTGTTCAATTTTTAATTTTGTAGTAGGGAGATGTTGATAATAACACACCTAGATATTTGAAGAAGGTCTTCTCAGTGCTTTTAGACTCAGGAAAAAGCAGTATTTTGGATCTCTGCATCATTTTAGTAACTTTTCTGTTGCCATAGAGCAATCTCAGTAAGAACTGTCCCCCTTGAGCCCTCGGTCTGAGTTACTGATGTAGCAGAGTGAAGCCCTGCATCTGCTTTGCCTGTTTGCTCTGGCCTTTGTAAGAGCCGATTGTTTGGACCATCTCTGCTGTTTGTATCTGACTTTTTTTGCTCAGATTGCCAGCTAAGCTATGGAAGAGTGAGAGTGTAGAATCCTTCTAATCCTACCTTTCTCTTTATTGGCAAGTTAGAGATGGGTAACTGTTCAAATCATCTTCACCCTGAGAGCAGAGCAATCCCGAGTTTCCTTAAGCAAATCAAATTAAGGGATATAATGTATTAATCTGTCAAAGTTGTTACTCTCAAAGGTACCTGTAACATGTACTTCATCCTCTGAATGACTCAGGCTTTTAGTGCCGATTTAACTGTTTCTTTTTCTCCGAAGATTGCAGCTAAACAAGCTGCAGCTGCTGCCACTCAGACCATTGCAGCCTCTCAGAATGCAGCTGTTTCCAACAAGAACACAGCAGCCCACCAGCAGCTTGTGCAGAGCTGTAAGGTAAACACGGCACAACCCACTGACAAATAATAACCCTGGAACTCTGCCTTGTGGGGAGCTGAGCATCACCCTCTGTAATGCTGTTGCAAAGAGATTTATAAACCCCCCCAGCACTATCCATGTGCACCTGTATTTGTTGTATTATCCATATTTACTGTGTGCTGATATATATATATATACACACACCCTGCAAACACCTCACTGCAAGGGTTGTGATGGGTCTGAGGTCTGTGCTGGAATAAAATAACCCCTGAATTTTCCACTGTGAGGGATGGAAGAGCAACGGTGATTTATGTTATCATGGGGTGAAGTTCTTATTTAACATGTTGGTTATATAATTGGTTATATAACTAACAACTGATCCTGCTCTTCTGATATTCCACCTCCAAGAAACTGGCACCTTAAATGTCACCATAAAAAATAAGTTCTGGATTTTACTGTGGGGTTAGCAGGATTCCTAGGTTGAAGTTAAAGCTGTCAGGACCACAGATTTCAAGGCAGGCCTGAAGTCAAGCACATGGCTGTCGTTTCAAAGCTACAGTTCAGAGTCTGGTGAGGAGCTGTTCAAGTTATATTTGGCACATCAACTTGTGGCTTTGACTAATAAAGAAGTTACATTTAAATTAAAAAAATTGAAAAAGACAATAGAACACAGAAGGATTTTCCTCTGCATCGAAGAGCAGTTATGTGGGGAACAAGAACAAAACCATTAAAGAAGGTGCTGTTAAAAGCCACATTAACACTCAGAAATTACTTCTTGTTATGGTGGCAAAGCTAAGAAATGTTGGAGTTAAATAAGGTAGCTCAAGTACATCTGAAAACTGTGTTGGAGAGAGCTGCTATTTCAGTATGAATTAAATAAAAAAGGCAAGCTGATTCACTGTAGTGTTGGCAGTTCAATCTAATTTTGTCTTGATGCTCATTTATTAGCAGAGAAGATCCAGTATCTCTTCCTTTGCTTTCTGTGGTGGTGGTAATTCAGTATTGCCCTGCTGACTGGAGTGTTATTGGGAAATGGAGGGGCAAGGCCCATGAATGTGGACAGTGCAGGAGCAAAGTTGTAGCATTACACACATGCCATACTAGAAAGTTTGTGTTGTTGAAAATCAAGGCAAAGTAAGCTGAGGTGCTTATGGGTAAAATACAATGTTTGTCTGAAAGCAGGACAGTCTCTTAAAAAAAACATCCATCACCTCCACTACTTGTATTTTTGAACATTCAAAGGAAGGAATTAAAAATACTTGGTGGGCATGTAATTCTGCATAAAAGTCTTGGGTTGTCTTGTAGGATCCTTAAACTAAAAAGTAGCTCGAATAAAGATTTCCTAAGTAGAACATCTCTAAGAAAACCCTATTGTGTATTAATTTGGTTTCATGGAGTCCTAAATGAATAATTCTGTGAAGGCACAAGAGTGTTTTACCTGTGAATGCTCCAGTTGTCTTTAAGGGGAGTAGGGACAGTGCTTGTTTTAGTGTCAGAGCATTTTGAGTTTTTCCTTATTTCCTGATATCTTTTCCCTTTGTTTATTTTAGAATGTTGCGGACCACATTCCCCAGCTGGTGCAGGGTGTGAGAGGAAGTCAAGCTCAGGCAGAAGACCTCAGTGCCCAGCTTGCTTTGATAAACTCCAGCCAGAATTTCCTGCAGGTGAAGTGAAACAATCACTGCAGTAGATGCAGTGATAAATAAACAGTAAATAGTTAACCTTTAACAGGAAAATTGATGTTTATGGACAAGGAACATTCATTGCTGTAGCACTTTCCTACTGGGAAAGAGTTGGACAAAACACAAAATTGGACTCTGTGCTTGTTTCCCAAAACATCTGAAAAATAGAATAGAAAGACAGAATATCGAGCATCGATAACAAAACTATTGAGTTTACTGTTGGCACTACAAGAAACAAACAAAAAACCAGTTCTCTGGGTGAGACAATCATTATTTGGCACCAGTTGGTCCTGCCTGAAATGCTGTTGGCAGGTTTTTATGCTCTCATGTAGGCAGAGGTGTCACAATCCACACCCTTGCTCTGGTGAAGTATTTTGCTGTATAATTCCCTCTGGACCATTCAAATGATCAATCCATCTCCCCCCTGGCTGTAGGTGTGTACAGTGGTGATGAGAAGAATCAGCAAAGTATTTTAATTGCATTAGCAGTAATCCCTGTGAAGAGTCATTGCTTGAGTTACAGTTCTTGACAGATAGAATTTTGGCAGAGTTTAATGTTTAGAAACACAGAGACACGTTTACCATCTGTGCCACCTGGACCTGCTTGTGCCACATGGATGCTGGATGGCAAAAGAGCACATTTAAGTATTTTTGAGCAGTTTAATGAGCACCCAAAGGCCTCAGGCAGACACTGGTACCAGTGGAGCAGTCACTGTACCAGTAAAGCTGCAGAGGACTCAGCAGTGTGGAATTCCCACAGGGTGCTGCAGCTTAAGGCGTGTGCCTGGTCACTAAAGAAAAATCTAGAAACCTCCTGAGAGTGTGGATGAAGTTTGTTTATTCAATCTTAAACCTTGTTTAAGGAAGACAAGCTGGTCAAACGCCCTGTGTTGACTGTTGCTCTTTGAACAGCCTGGAAGTAAGATGGTGGCCTCTGCCAAGGCTGCAGTGCCCACGGTGACCGATCAAGCAGCAGCGATGCAGCTCAGCCAGTGTGCCAAGAACCTTGCCACCAGCCTGGCTGAGCTCCGAACAGCCTCCCAGAAGGTGGGTAAATACTGGTTTTAATCAGCTAAGGCAGGATGGCTTGGTGCCTCCCCCAGGGGAATGGCTCATGCTCAGACACTGTCCTCGCTGCTGCTTTTCCTGCAGTTTGCTCAGACTTCCCAGCTGGCTCCTGAGTCATAAAAAAGGGGAGGGAGAAGTGACAGGAAAACTGAAAAACTTGTGCTGCTACCATTTCCATAGCAGAAAAACAGGAGGAGGGAGGGCAGAGCAGCACACCAAGGCTCTGAGCTGCTGGTACATTTGAGGCAGAGCAGGGACAGGGAGCAGCTTTGCAGCCAAACCAGAGGGAACCCAGCTGTGGCACTGCTGGAACTGTGCACTGCAGCCATCAGCTCTAAAACTCAGGGAAACAGATGCTGCCTGTGTTTCACACACCTCTAAACTATGTGGGGGCTTAAAAAGTAAAATCAGTAGGAAGTTTGCTCTGTGTGTGTGTGTTTGTGTCTGCACCCTGTAGTGTGTAGGTGACCACACCTGAGCTGATGTTAAAATCCCAGCTCACACAGATGGCTGTGGGCTGCCACATCAGGGGGTTCAGGGTGACCTTAGTCATGATCCACAGTTAGGCTGTTGGTCAGAGGTGAAGCCCAGGCTGCAGCAGTTGTTTTCTCAGTGTGAAGGTGGGTGTACCCAACCTGAGGGCACCTCATTGCCCTGCTGCCTCTTTCCAGTGTGTTCTTCTCTTCCCAGACTAAGAACATTGCACAGGAGTTTGCAATCCGTGATGTGGAACACTCAGAGTGCCCACTGAGGCCTAGAAAGCAATGGGAGAAAAAACGTGGGAGGGGGAGGTTGTATCTGAGGCTGGTTGATTACAGCTGCTAACAGTGCCTCTGCTCTGACCTGTGAACAGGCTCACGAGGCTTGTGGCCCCATGGAAATCGATTCTGCCTTGAACACGGTGCAGACCCTCAAAAATGAGCTGCAGGACGCGAAGATGGCGGCGGTGGAAGGACAGTTAAAACCCCTCCCCGGAGAAACTGTAATTGAGGAAGGATGTTCTTCATTTAAAAACAAACCAATAAAGTTAACTGTTAACAAATTTCAATATCAGAGTCAAAGCAAGTCGTGAGGCTTTTGATAGTGATGATGCTGATAGGATTTTGCACCAATTCTCTTTAGAATGAGGACATGTTACTGCTACTCCAGCTGCGTGTTCTGTAGTAGAATTACTCGAGGGATTGTAGGGCCTCCTTCTCTATTGTACAAATTACAATTTAGTAGCAGTAACGCTTCAGTCTTGTCAGAAAGAATTCTTTTCAGTAGTGACAAAGATGAGAACTCAGTAGTTCTAAGGCAGCGAGTCCTGGTAGGCTTAGAAAGTGAAATCGTTTATTTGGGGGAAACTTCTCCTCGGATGAAGGGGGTTTTTTTCCATTGCTAATTAAAAAATAGCTTTGTTATTCAGATTATCCTATATGGTAACTTATTTTATCTTGGACAGGGAAAACATGCTTGTTGGGTTTCAGAGAAACTGTGTATATGTTCAGTAGCTGAGGTAAAAGTTGGGGTTTTGGAGAATGAGGAATTTTTTAGTGCTATTTAAAAAACACGTTGAGCTTAAACTCAAAGAATTTTGTCCTTTGCAATTTTTCACAGCTTGAGAAATGCACTCAGGACTTGGGAAGCACATCCAAAGCAGTTGGATCTTCAATGGCCCAGTTGTTAACTTGTGCTGCTCAGGGCAACGAGCACTACACAGGTAGTGTTTTATTCAGAATATCTCTGTGAAACCTTCTGGCAATGTGGGCACAGGGATCCTGCAGTTTAGGTTTGTACCTGTCCTTTTTAGAAACCAAAAGCACTTCCTAAGGAAAACACTCCTGCAGGAGGGTCAAAAGTTTGCTCTTCAGTGTGGAAATGTTCTTTTTTCTCATATCTGTAAGAAAGGGAAGCTGTTGATACAAATGCTACTGTAAATTCCTTTTTTTTTTTTTGGCTAATCTTACTGATTAAATGCATTGTGGCAATTACCACTTCATTGGATGTAATTGCATCAGGGCTCCATAACTTGTAGTTCCTTCCATCTGAAGCAGATGTAATTGCACTGAGATGGCTCAGGATTCTGTCACACAGTTATGTAGAAGTTAGCACGGGGGATCTGCCAGAGGAGTTCAGATATATCAGTACAGCTGATAATGAATAGTTGAATTTAGTAGCTCTCTTATCATCAAACTGTGGGAAAAACTACAAAGCAACGAGTTCCTTTTCAAAAATTTCAAGAATAGAAAAATGAGACCATATTTAGTGCTAGAGTTGATGGAAATCCTTTAATGTTGGCCTGACACACCACAGAAACTCATTTCATGACATCCTTTCTGTGACTTCATTCAGTTATTTTTATATGCTTGTATTCACAGTGATGTTAGGTTGTATCAAGTTGTACCATTGCAAATAATCTCTTTTTTAGCTGCTTGAACTTCAACTATTGTTGTGTTTATTCTCTAAAGAAGTCCAAAGCTGGGTTTTCAGAGGGGGCAGAGATGCTGTGGCGCTGAACTCACGTGCACCACTCTTGCAGACAATCACTCTCCTCCACAGCTTGGAGTGGGAGTTTTTCCTCACCTCACATGTGTTGGGTTTCCTTCTTTTTCAGTGCTTTGCTAAGATTTAGTCACTGCTATGGAGCTGTGCCCAGAACGTGGTCTTTGGTCTTTTGATATTTGTTTTATGGCCTCACTGCAGGCATTTCTGTAAGCAAATGCTGCTGTGTATTTCCAATGTGTTCACGTTGGAAGCTTTCCTTTCAAATTGCATTTGCAAGGTTATTTCACAATGGGATCGCTGCCTGCAAATTCCTGTCATAAAATGACAAGGATTGTCTTCAAGGGTGCTGATGGAATCCCTGGTGAAATCTCCACACAGGAGTTGCTGCCAGAGAAACCGCTCAGGCTCTGAAGACTTTGGCTCAGGCGGCACGAGGGGTTGCAGCATCGACCACCGACCCCGTGGCAGCACATGCCATGTTGGATTCAGCAAGGGATGTGATGGAAGGCTCTGCCATGCTGATCCAGGAGGCCAAGCAGGCCCTGGCTGCCCCAGGGGATGCAGACAGTCAGCAGAGATTAGCCCAGGTAAGCTCCAACTCCAGCAGCTCTGGGAATTGTCACCCAGTGAAATTAAATAGGGGAGAGGAACATTCAGCTCTCAGACAGTCACATCATGTGTATGTTAAACAGTGCAGATGGTCTGGAGTGTGGTGTTTTAGTCACCTTACAGAAAAATACATCGAGATGCAGCTAAATGCTGTTACTCACAACATGTGTGGGTAGAGTGCTTGGCTGCAGAAATGAAACAACCATTAGACTGATCATTATCAAATAAAGGATCTGTATTCATGTTACCTTCACAAAGCCAGTTCGTGTTTCCTACAGATGTGGCACCGCTCCTTTTGAAGGCATTAGGGAGTACCAGGTTCTTTTTTTACTGATTTGAAAAGTGCCATAATTGGCTTGCACTGTAAACAATTTCTTATGAGGAGACTTCTGTTTGAATTGGGACTTTGTAAAAAGAAGCACGCTAAGAATTTCTGTGATTAGCAGTTCCCAGTGGGCACCTGCAGGGGCATTCCCTCCTCTGCCTTCATGCCAGATGCCAGCTGAGGAGCTGCCCTGCCAACATTATCCTGTCCAATGGGTGTGCAGAAATAACAGGTGCTGCAGGTCAGCAAACCAAGGAAATCACAAGCCCCCAAAATGGTTTTGTAGGAGTCAGTGTAGGAATTGCTGGCTATGGAATAGAGGCTGGGCCTCCTATCAGTGACCCCTTCAGTGTGAATGTGTTTACCTGTGTGTTGTAGGTGGCAAAAGCAGTGTCTCACTCCTTGAATAACTGTGTCAACTGCCTGCCTGGACAGAAGGATGTGGATGTGGCCTTGAAGAGTATTGGGGAGTCCAGCAAGAAGCTCCTTGTTGATTCGGTGAGATGGAAATCCGTTCCAGAGAACTCGAGAGCAGATCTGGGTTCCTCGTGTGTCAAACCATTATTTAGTAAATGTGCCTTAAGTATTCTTCATGAAAGCTCTGTTTTGGTTTATGCACCTCTAAATACCTGCTCATTTAACTGAAATGCTGTTCTGGTTTTATGGGAAAGGTGAAGTGAGTGACTTGTGAAGGCAATATTGAAATTGTTGCCATAGATTGGTACTAGTTTTTTTTTGTTTTTTTTTTTAAATGCCAACTATGACTTTAATTTCCTACTTTTCATATTCTTCAAAATGTTAAGTCCCTCACCCACCTAGAAGTAATCAGTTCAGTTGAAGGAGCACTGTGACCTATCAAAAAGCGTTTGGTCATTTTGTGCAAGACTAGAATTGGTTTATTTCTTTTTAACTGCATCTGTATCAAAAAACCCTTTTTGCACTGGTTAATTTGCCAGAAGGTGATATGACCTTGTTAAACTGCCTTGACCTTGACAGTCCTGAGGACGTGACAGACACTAAAATGCACAATGTGGTCTCTTCCAGCTACCTCCCAGTTCCAAGTCGTTTCAGGAAGCTCAGAGTGAACTGAACCAGGCGGCAGCAGACCTCAATCAGTCAGCAGGAGAAGTTGTCCACGCCACACGGGGTCAAAGTGGGGAGCTGGCTGCAGCCTCGGGGAAATTCAGCGATGATTTTGATGAATTTCTTGATGCTGGTATTGAAATGGCTGGCCAAGCACAAGTAAGTTGTTGACTGTGCAGCTGGTGCTGCTTGAGACCAAGGGTTATCATGGCCATAGCAATTGCAGTGCAGTGTGTTTGTTGGTCATGGAGCAGCACAGTGCTGGTGTGAGCCTATCAGATAGTACATTAACTGGTCATCTGACAACGGTTTAGAACAACAAATGTCAGCAAATAAAGAAGGATCCCATATCAGGAGAGACAGGAGGACTTGCAGAAAATAGAATGTACTCTAGCTGTGCTCTAGTTTTGCCCTAGTTAGTAGAAGGACCTTGCAAATTTAGGAAATGATTGCCAAAGGAGAACTGCCCAGAAGGTCTTGAGTGTGTCAGTCCTTTGAAGTCATTTATGAAGTGTCTCGAGGGCAGATACTTTGTAGATAGAGCTGAGTAGAGAGGTCAGTCAATGACTGCTGGCTATCATCCATCAGAATTTCGTCATTTGGGTTCCAGCTCTGTGAAGTGAGTTTGGATCCAAATCCAGCTGGAGCTCTGAGACTGAGCAGGAGTTGGGTACCTGACTGGCCCTTGAGCTGTGGACCTCACTGACTGTTAGAATGTGTTGTTTAGGCAATTCAGTGATGGCAAAGGTATAAATGAGACTGTAAATGGCTGCTGGAAATGAGAATTCCAGCTGCTGGTGGCCCTGTGACCCTTGGGAATTTGCCAATCCTGCTGCTATAGAGGATGATAACCATCTGAGTTGTTAATGGGTGATCTCTCAAAAGACAATGTCCTCTGCCTGTGTCTAGTTATTTGGCCTGGGCAGGTGCCATGCCAGTATTTTGGGTGCCTAGCAAAACGTGGGGGTAGGGAGGAAGCAGAATGTAATAAATGTAAAATAAAAGCTATTTACATCAGCTGAGTAATGTGCAGCATCTTTACATAAACCCCTGAACAGACTATTAGAAAGAATGGATTCACTGCTAGTGCCTGCTGACAGAAGAATCTGATCACAGCTGTTGCTGTGGAAGTGCAGTGCTTCTCTGCCTATTTATATACAGGCTTCCCTTTTCAAGCAATGGCTCAAAATAAGTAATAAAACATCCAGGTGGATGGGCTTATAGGAACCTGTTTTCGTGGGATAGAGGACTTTGTGGAGGGATATTTTTGTGAGAGTAACCCCGGTGAGTGCTGGAGAGCCCGTGGGGACACAGAGGATGCTGGAACACTGAGTGTACACTGACTGCACAATGTGCAGCAGCTGTGCCAGGCAGAGACACACGAGAGTCTCCACAACAACAGCATTGTCCAACAAGTAGTAAAGTTTCTCCACTGCTCGTTTTGAATGCAGCAATTGTTAGAAAGCGGGCTCTTTGCTGGGTGGGTTGGTTTCTCTGGGGTGTGAGTGAAGCTGGAGGCACCTGCTGGGGTGAACAGCCTTTGGTCCATCCCCTTCTCTGCCCCGTGGGCTCACGGGTGGCAGTGGTGTCAGGTGGATGAACAAACTGCCTTTCCAAGCGTGGTTTTAGCACATTGCTGCAGTTTCTGCACCTAATGCTCTGCTGCTGTGGCTTTGCAGACTAAAGAGGACCAGATCCAAGTCATAGGTAACCTCAAGAGCATCTCCATGGCTTCCAGCAAGCTCTTACTGGCTGCCAAGTCCCTCTCTGTTGATCCTGGAGCTCCTAATGCCAAGAACCTCCTGGCAGCAGCAGCAAGGTAAGGATGTGTTGTTTTCCTGAGGTATTTGCTTTTCTCTGTGGTATTTATATTGTGCTTAAATATTGCTCTGCTGTTGACAGTGAACTGAGTCAGGGACCTGCAGTCCTGTTGAATTGCTAAGAGGAACAGTTTAACTTTCAAATACACCTTTTTTTTTCCTTCTGCTCTCCCCAGAGCTGTGACTGAGAGCATAAACCAGCTCATCACACTGTGCACCCAGCAGGCTCCTGGCCAGAAGGAATGTGACAATGCCCTCAGAGAACTGGAGGTATTGCTGTATTTCAAAAATTCCTGGGAATAAAAGCAGACCCCAAGGGTTTGTTTCCTTTGTGTCCTTTGTCTGACCAGCTGCTGTCACTGCTTTTCCCTCCCTGTCTGTGGCAGGGCTTTAGTGGCATAGGAGGTAAGAGTAGAACCTGGGTGAGCATCTTGTAGTTTTGGCAAAAAAAGCAACACCTGAGCTGTTAAAAATACTGCAGGTGTGTCTTGATGTGTTACAAGAAAAGTCCAAGTGTTTAAAATCATGCCTTGATTTCCTTTAGATGGAAAGCAAATGGCAGATACAGCTGTTAGGATCCTTCTATACTTGACTGATTTTACTTTTACTGGCAAGATTAAAAGTCTTTTCTGCCTGATATTTGGCAGAAAAACAGTGTTCCCCCAAACTTGAAAAAAAAGGCTTACTGCAGGTATTTTTATGAATAAAAGAATCAGTCTCCTGCATTTTTTTTCAGCTTTTTACAAGCTTGTTGCCGAATTGCTTTCACTCTTCTCAGTGAATGTGTGACTGATGTCACGTTGTTATTTCCAGGACTCAGAGTCACCTCAGAAAAAGGAATTAAACCCAAGTAGTCAATGGAGTTTTCTGACAGAGGGAGGAGCCATTTTGGGGGATGTGCCCTTAGTTTGGTAGCCTTTTGTGTTTCTACACAGTGCTCAACAAATGGCACCTGGGTTTCCTACCAATATTTTAATTTCATTTATGAAATTTAAAATAGAACATGCATTAATTAGACTGGTGACAACTGACAGAAAAGCAGATTGCCTGGTGTCAGTTGAGCCCCTCTGGCTGACCGTAAGTCACTCACCACAAACAGGAGGTGCAAACCCCAGGAGCCTGTAGTACCAGCACATCCATGTGCACTAAGGTGTTCTTCCCAGCTCAGTATTCCAGGCTCTGTCAATAATCAGAGGTGTTTTTCTTATTTCAGACAGTTAAGGGGATGCTGGACAACCCCAATGAGCCTGTGAGTGACCTCTCCTATTTTGACTGTATTGAGGGCGTCATGGAAAACTCAAAGGTAATTTCTTCTTTCCCCCTTCTGTGCCAATTGCAAAGCCTGTTGGAATTTTCACAAGTTTCCAAGAGCAGATCAGATATATTGGAGATGCAGTCGGTGCTTATAGGCTGTGTTCTGCATTCCTTGATGAACCTCACCTGAGATAGGTGTCTGACGGGTAATTTCAGATTTTGGTCACTTGGTAAGACAGTTTTAATTAAGTGATCGTCGTGCAGTGCTGTTCCAGGTTGTCCTCTCTCCCTGCCTCTCCTGTGCATTAGACAAGCACATCATACTTGGGTGATGTATTTTGACTGCAGCTGTGTGAGAATGGCCCAATGGCAATGAAACACGACTGTGTCACTCTGTGCACAACAGCTCAGGGAAATATCTGAGCAGCCCAGGCACTCCACACACCCCAACATCTGTGTGAAATCTCTGAAGTTATTTTTCATTTTCCTGTGCTTTACATCTTCCTTTGAAGCCTGCTTTTGGTGTCCTTTTAATTTGATGTGCTGAAAGTGTCTCAGATCCTTCTCTAAAAGAAAAAAGGAAGTGCCTGATGGGTGTACATGTCATCTTCCATCTAATGCTCTGCAGTCAGACCTCCTTTGGAATTTTAGAACAAAGTGAACTGAATTCAGTGGGACACACTGAGGGAATTAATGTGTGCTCTGACAGTCAGATGGTGCCACCAGTCCAGGTGCAGTTTCATTTACACTGAGGTTCTGAATTTAAGGACAGAGATGATGCTGGATGTGTTGACAGCATCTGCAGGACTGGCAGTTGTGTTCTGCAGTCTGTGAAAAGCCAGGCTGGCTGGGATGGCAGCAAAAACAACGAGGCTGAGTTCTGTGTCCTCTTCACCAGTTGAGCTGTAACAGTGCTCATGCTCAGGGAAGTCATTAACTCAAAATTCAGGGACCCAAACCCACGAGGTTTGGGGCCAGAATCAGCTCTCTCTTCGAGTGGTAGGGAGGCACATCTGGGAGATAACTTTGTTTTTTAGTTCCTGAAGTCCTTGGAGAATCATCTTTGTTTCTCATTCCCGAGGTTCTTGGCGAGTCGATGGCGGGCATTTCCCAGAACGCAAAAACTGGGGATCTTTTAGTCTTTGGAGAATGTGTTGGAGTTGCATCCAAGGCTCTTTGTGGCCTCACAGAGGCAGCAGCTCAGGTAAGCTGATTTCTGAATAACCTCTGACCAGCATGTGCTTTGACACACATCAAGCTGATCAAAAATCCAAGACAGATTTAGCATAATTCCTTGGGATTGTTTTCTCCTGTTCTCCATTCCTAGGCCGCTTACCTGGTTGGCATCTCGGATCCAAACAGCCAGGCTGGTCAGCAGGGTCTTGTTGACCCAATCCAATTCGCCAGAGCCAACCAAGCAATCCAGATGGCTTGCCAGAATTTGGTGGATCCAGCAAGCAGCCCATCACAGGTGACTGCAGAGGATGGCAGCGAGACCATCATTGTTAGGACCCCAGACTTTGCTTTATTTGTCCAAGCAGAGGGGTCGTGGTTTGGAAGTGTTGCAGGGCTGGAGCGTGGCAGCTGTGCCACCCCTCTGACGCCGTCCCTGGTGTGTGCTGTCTGTCCTGCAGGTGCTGTCAGCTGCCACCATCGTGGCCAAGCACACGTCAGCGCTGTGCAACGCGTGTCGCATCGCCTCCTCCAAAACCGCCAACCCCGTGGCCAAGAGGCACTTCGTGCAGTCTGCCAAGGAGGTGGCCAACAGCACTGCCAACCTGGTCAAGACCATCAAGGTTTTTTTTTTGTTTGTTTTCATCGTGCTTCCTTCTTCCTTTGGGGTTTTAGGGTTTGGGATTTTTTTTAAGTCCTGTTGAGGCAGAATGAGAGCGGAGAGAAATCCCTTCTTACCTTCTTGGATATGCGTGGTTTAAAAAATCACTAATTACAGTTTTGAAGACCTGAACTGGAAAACAGGGTCGGTGCTAAACTGCTGAAGTCAAGATGGAAAAATTGGGCAATATTAATATTAATGCTAATCTTAGGAGAGGTAACTGGCCTACCCACTATGAAACCCCTCAGCACTGATGTGTTTAATGAGTTTGCACCATAAGAATAGTCTAGAAACAACTGAATGGGAAGGATTTTAATGGTGTTGAGTTGCTTAAACCATTTATGTTGCTAATAGTCTCCTGTTAATAGTAATCTTTCATTTTCCAGACACCTGCCAGCAGTTTGGCAGGAGGGAGCTTTTCTTCATGGAAACAGAAATAATACTTGGGAAGCCGTAGAGGACTTGGATTCTAAACCCTTCTGGAAGCCATTAACAGATCTAATCTGATTTCATTAGCTGAAATGTTTGCTATGAGACTGTGAAAGAGATTGGGTGACTTGTGTGGAAACAAGAGCAATAAATTACTGGTTTGATTGAAAAAAAAACCAAAACAAAACACTGAAAAATTTAAAAATAGGTCTGTGGGAAACAACCACCATCACAAACCATAAAAAGGTGGAAATTTAGCCCTTCCACCCTTTGGACACAGCTGAGACACAGCTTGAGAGAGTCATGGGAGTGCAATGATAGAAAGACTTTTATTCAGTCTCGTGAAGCAAACAGCATTTAAAGTTTAGGGTCGATAACCAGCTAAGAAAAGAAACACACACCTAAAAGATGACGTTCTTTGCATCATCCCTGTTTGTGGAGGAGCTTTCAAATATCACAAACACCCAGCAGTTTAACACTAGGAAGAATTAAACCAAGTTCCTTCAGTTGTGCTAAGGAGCCCTTGCAGACAGAACTCAGTCCCGGTTTCCTTTGCAGGCCCTGGACGGAGATTTCTCTGAAGAGAACCGTAACAAGTGCAGAATTGCCACTGCCCCTTTGATCGAGGCTGTGGAAAACCTGACAGCCTTTGCCTCCAATCCAGAGTTTGTCAGCATCCCAGCACAGATCAGCACTGAGGTAAGGCAGGTGCTGCACCTCCACCCTCCAAAAGCTCAAAATGCTCCATTAATCCCGTGTTGGGAGAGAGGTGACTTGCATGCCTTGGCAGCTGGATTCTTCCATGTGATAAAATAATAAATTGAACTAATGAATTATCCTTTTTCCCCTCAATAGCAGCTTTAACAAATGAAACCTCACTGGTTCTGAAAAGGATTGAAGAGACATCACTGGGTTCTTCTCTCCTTCACTCACAATTTCTCCATCCTCAAACCCTGTAACTACAGCAGAGTAGAATTTGAAGGGGCTAATAAAGGGTTTGTTGGTTTCGAGGTTTTTTTTTCTGTGAGGCAAGGAGATTAAAAAAATCAATCCTTCAAGCTTCATAAAAGCCAGAGGTCATGTATTGTTAGTAACCCTGCAAGTGCTGCTCCCTGCTTTTGTCAGGCTCTGTTCCCAGTGGCAAGGTCAGGTGATGCAGTAACTGCTGCAGCCTGAAAGCTCTGGGGCTATGATTGAAATGCAGGTGTGTCCTCCAGGTCTGTGGGACACTGGTTTACCACCAGTACCAGCAATAAAATGGATACAGAGATGATGACCCAGTTAGAGTCATCAGCCAGCACTCAGAGTTGGTGGTCCAACCAACTAATTCCTGGGAAAAGAACACACCTGGGAAAGATAACAAGCTCTGTGGCAAATAAAGTATATTTTCAATGGTATGTCTATAGTCTGTGATTACACAAATGTCATTGTTCTCTCCTGTTTCTCAGCTGGAAGGTGTCTTTCTAAATCTGTTTCTTAAGTATGTTTCACAGGAAGCTGTTGGACTGTGATTTTTTAATTTCTATTTCTGAGTTAACTCTCTGTGAATAGTACCACAGAGGAAATTAGAATGCCATTTTCCTGCTGATAATTAAACAGACTCCTAGGAGCAGGAAGTGTGGACAGGCTCGAATAATCATTTAAATGTTCTCTCTGTTCATGCCCCTTTCTGCCCACAGGGGTCACGAGCCCAGGAGCCCATCCTGGTCTCTGCCAAGACGATGCTGGAGAGTTCCTCGTTGCTGATCAAAACTGCCCGTTCCTTGGCCATCAATCCCAAGGACCCTCCCACCTGGTCAGTGCTGGCCGGGCACTCCCACACGGTCTCAGACTCCATCAAGAGCCTCATCACCTCCATCAGGTAGGACTTGGGGAGGAGCCAAGAGCTGAGCAGCTGCTCAGCAAGGAAATCCCACGTGGCCGTTGGCAGTGTGTTATTTGTTATGGTGGAAGTGACTCTGATGCACAGCATCTCCCCACTTACACTGGTGTGTAATCAGAACTGATGACTGGGGCTGTTCTGGCTGTGGGTTCTGTTCTCCTGTGGTAAATGTAGTAGAGAATGCTGTACAAAAGGAAAATTGCAGCTAATATTGCCTCCATGCAGGTCATGTACCAAAGTGTGATACATGGGAAACAGCTTTTTCTGTTCTTTTTAAGGTCAGACAGTGTATAAATTACCTTTGCTATCTATTCTTCGCTATAGTGTTCTCTGTGTAGTTGCAAGAATGCTGCAGCAAGAAGTGAATATTCTTTATTTTTGAGCTAAACCTCTCTGTCCCTTTCTTAAGGAGAATTTTAAAGCTTACCTTTATATTTAACCTCTTTATATTGATGGCATGAAAACAGTGAAGTGAGCAGCGTTCACACTTTTGTTGATCCTTGATAATGATTGTACTGAAATAGCAAACTGCATGTCAGGGCAAAGTACTCAGCAACTCTTCTTTGGTCAGAGATAGCTGGGCTGAATGTAGCACGTGAGGAATTGTTTTCTGAGGCAGTTGATCTCACTGTACCCAAACGTGAATGTGTTTTCCTGGAGTCTGTTCCATTTTCATCGTAACCTTTATTATTGGGCCCGTCTGGCCGCCCTGAGGAGATTGAATTTCGACATTTCTTCTGAGACACCCCTTTTTTTCTGTGTAGCCACTAAGAAAGGTGTGGGGGGTGTGTGTGTGACAGTGCCCTCTGCACAAGTACCCAAATACTGCAGGTAGAACAAAGCTGACTTTGGTCCTCGTTGCTCTCCTCCCACGTGTTTTACGCACTGTCAGGTAACTCAGCACCCCTGTGTGATCCATGAGGGAGCTGCCTCCTTCCCCAGGCTCAGCTGTGTCTGTGTCTTGCAGGGACAAGGCCCCAGGGCAGCGAGAATGCGACTTCTCCATCGACGGCATCAACAGGTGCATCAGGGACATCGAGCAGGCGTCGCTGGCCGCCGTCAGCCAGAGCCTGGCCACCAGGGATGACATCTCCGTGGAGGTGAGGGACAGGGCACAGGCACAGCAGTGCTGGGCAGCCTCCCTCACCCTGCTGCTCTCCTCTGCACTGGGAGAAGTGGAGCAATCAGCACAATCTGCTGCCATTGACGGGAGGAGTGTCCTTACTGGGACCTTTGTAGGCAAAACCACCTCTGCCCCAAGTGTAGAGATTCTGGAGAGATATTGGAATCACCAGGCTAAAGGAGAGGTTGAAAGTAGTTATTTTTTAGTGCTACCCACCTGTTACTCTGATTTCCTGTGTTGAGGTGACAGACTGAGAGCTGCTGTGGTGCTGTGCCATTGGGAAGCCAGGATGTTCCTGAAATTCATCTGTTATTGGAAGTTCAGTGAGGCAATTGTTCATGTCCTCTTCCTTAATGCCTATCTTGTCCTCAGAGAAGCAAAATTTGAAGTTGATATTGATATGTTCACATAAAGAAAGTTTTCTTCTCTCCCCCAACCCCTTCTCTGCCCTCTTTCCCCCCTCCTCCTCCAACAGTTCGAGTTGAGATTCTCAGCTTGGTCTTTCCATATTGTTGCTTCCTGACATTACATGTTTATTCAAGTGGTTTCTTGGGGCTGTCATGCTGTGCACGAGAAACATGTGAGGCCAAATTAAGCTGAGCAACAGAGGCTATTGCAGGAAATATGTGTGAATTCTTTTTTATTGAAGTGGTGAAGTTATCTTGGACACCACGTTGATCTGAAATAAACGCTACCAAAAATGGCATTTATTTATAAAGCAGTAGTGGAATTATTACAAAGGGTAAAATGGTATTTATTTTCTCTTGCCTTTCGAGGGGGAGCTAAATCCTGGTGGCTGCCAAGACATCAAGTGCCTCTGAATTAAAAGCCAGTATTTATGTCTCAACCAGGCCATTAATACGCTTTTCCTTTGCTCCTGTCCCTCAGGCAGTACTCAGGAGGTCAGTGCTCATCTCTGTCCCTCAGAGATGGCACATTTTCCTCTGGCTTTCCTTAGTCAGTGAGCCTCAAAGTCTCCAGCAGACTTTGCTGGTTGGAACAGCAGTGCTAGAGCTTTGTCAGGGCATGAGTGGTTTGGGAGAGCGGGAGGACGTTGGTCACGTCACAGGGAGAGAGGACACCTGGCCCCAGATGTGCTGGAGTGGGAAGGAGCCACCTTCCCACACCTGTCATGTAAAGCTGAAGAGGAGCAGGCCCATCTGAAAAGGGTAAAGGAGAAAGCAGCAATTACCTAAAGAAAACTGGCAGTGTGGATCTCTGCTTCCACCAGAGCGGGTCATGGACAGCATCAGCTGATCGAGGGTGGTTGTCACAGCATTGTGCAGCTTGGGAAGGGAACAGCTGTGGGAGCCACTGACCCTTTCTCCCTCTGTCAGGCCCTGCAGGAGCAGCTGACGTCAGTGGTGCAGGAAATCGGGCACCTCATCGATCCCATAGCCACGGCAGCGCGGGGAGAGGCGGCTCAGCTGGGGCACAAGGTACTGTCCTGTTAGAGGCACTGGGGATATCTGAGGGCTGGGTGGGAGGGAATACCCTCATGTCACAGCAGGTCCTCTGCCCATGGGAGAGCAGAAGAAAGCAGCTGTAAGGAGGGAAGATCTGGAATTTTCCAACACTCGGAGCCGAGATCAAATAAACCTGTTTACATTTGGGGCCAGAGGAAAGAGATTTTCATTGAGATTTTTGATGAGGGGCTTTGTGTCAATGTGCCTCTCTGTTGTATGGAGAGTAAGTATGGTTGAACTCATGCTTATCAGATGTCTGTCCAAAAAATCATGATATATTCCTGAGAGAAAAAGAAATACAAGTTTTCTGTGTCAGTGTATTTAATACTGGAAAGGAATCGCTCTGTTAGCGAGAGAGCTCCTCCAGAGTTGTACCTGACTGTTTAGCTTTGGAAAATCATTGAATATTTCATAATGTCTCAGCTACTGGCAGTTTTGATTCTTGGTTTGCACACCTCAGAGGTGTGCAACAAATTGGGATTGCTGAGATGTGGTAGAGGGAGTCACATTCCTCTTTGTGCTTGTGAGGTGAATGTTGACCTAAGTCGGTGGCACTTTCTTTGAGCCAGCTTTTCCTGCTGAATGCTGTTCACTTTGACACAGTGTAAAAGGCCTTGTGTTTGTGAAATGATTCCTATGATTCAGTTTATTTTTTTTCTTCTTTTTTTTTTCTTTAATCACCTGAGAAGCAAGATAGAAGTCTTAAAATTGTATGACTCTTGGCTGTCCACATAGTCATTTAGATGGAGTAAACCTTTCAATATGTTTTCTAGCACTTGAAGACATGAAGTACTGGTATTTGTCTTCCCTAGAAAGTTGTTTATAGCCCCCACAGACATATGCACTCTTGAATTTGTGAGGCTTTGGGTCTACCAGATGATGCCACAGTGGGCTATTTGTGCATGTAGGGTGGAAGAATTTGTCCCAACACATTACAGGGTTTTTGTATCCAGTAAAAACTGTAGAAGGAAAGTCTCATGGATTTCTGTTGTGGCTCTGTAGATGTGTCAGGTGACAGACTGTAAAACTACCCATTCACATGTAAAATGTGCTTATTTCCCTGTAACACTTGTGCAGCCCAAAGCAGGTGTTTGCTCAGAATGAGCGTCAATCAAACCAGAAACTGAGGAAAACAGAGACAACCTCCACATATTCCTGAGGACTAACATACAGCAGTGGAAGCTGCTAAGCAGAACCGTGTCTTTAGATCCTGCCAGCACTGTATTGACCAAATAACTGAGGGGAACACACCAAGTGCTTGCTGTGGGGTCTGAGAAATGGGGTTCATGTCCTCCCGTGGTTGTTCTGGCTTTCCTAGGTGACACAGCTGGCAAGTTACTTTGAACCCCTGGTTTTAGCTGCAGTTGGTGTGGCATCCAAGACACTAAACCATCAGCAGCAGATGACTGTGTTGGACCAGAGCAAGACACTAGCAGAGTCTGCCTTACAGATGCTGTATGCTGCCAAAGAAGGGGGAGGAAACCCCAAGGTAAGGTGGTTGTGTGGAATTCAGGGCGAGAGGTGAAGGCAGGTGTGGCAGGGAAAGCAGCACCTACCTAACTGTACAGTCAAGGGGTATGTTTGCAGTGGAAATGCCACTGCTGGCTCTCCTCTGATGTTTCCTGTCAGAGAGTGGGAACATCTCTCCAAGGCAGGCCTGCACTCTGCCTCCCACATCCTCTCAGGGGGCACTGAGGGTGTGACAGCAGCTTCCCAGGCTCTAAATCAGAAAGCAAATGGTTAAAAACCAGGGCCTGCCTGGTCCATGGCCTGATGATGGGCTGGGGACCATCACCAAACATAGCAGAGATGGGAGGAGCAGCAGCACGTGACAGTTCATAACTCAGGTGTGATTGACTCTTACGAAGAACCACAATCCTTAAAGGATATTTGAAAAGACTGCAGGGCCTTATATAAGAGGCTTAAAGTGTTGTGTGCCATGGCTTCTTGGAGGAGTTACCAAATGTTGTTCTGGCTGCTTTGCTGCAGTGCTTCACTTGTCATCTCTGCCCTGAAGTGTTGCTTGCAGTGCTGTTGTTTTCATTTCTTACGTTTCTGATTCCCACGTTGTCTTGCACAGAGCAGTTTGTGACTGGCTGTTTGCTCACTGTGTCCCTTCAGGCCTCTCACACTCACGATGCCATCACTGAGGCTGCCCAGCTGATGAAGGAGGCTGTGGATGACATCATGGTCACCCTCAATGAAGCTGCGAGTGAGGTTGGCATGGTCGGGGGTATGGTGGACTCGATTGCAGAGGCAATGAGCAAGGTGGGCATGAAAGTTCTGACCCCTCTTTCACTCTGGGCTTGATGGCTGATCCACATTGCAGGGCTCTAGAGGAGCTGATTCATTTTGGCACGCTGTCACAGGAAACCTAAAGGTTATTTGCTTTTGCAGATTGTGAAGTAAAACTGATGTGGGCCATGGGGCTTGTGTTTACAACCTACGCAGTACCTGTCAGTAGAATTGCTACAAAATACTTTTGTTCGGCCATGTACTGCCATTTAACTGCCATCTTAGGTCAAGTGGCCTTTTATTTTTGCTTCCTTTTTTCCTTGGCTTTCATGTCAGTCTCTTAAATGAACAGCAGACCAGACCTTGGAACAATCTACTTTCAGCTTTAAATGCCATGCTGTGCTTTGTAATGCATTCTGCTGAAGATGTATGGCTGCAAAATGTACTTAAGCTCAATCCAAATAATTGCCTTTTCCTGTCCTGACTTAAGAAATAAGGACTTTAGCACACAAAGAAATCTTACCTTATCTTCTGGCACAAACATTCTGCTCTGGAACCGTTGCCCCTTCCCTTCTGTGTTAGCTGAGAAGTGCAGGTGGTTTGACCTTCGGGGAGAAGTGGACTCATGCTCAGAAACTCTGCACTGTACATTCTCCTTGCCTTCCATCTCATAACCTGGGCTGAAGGATTTGCATCCTGGTCACTTGTGTGTCTTGAGAGAGAGGGGATTATAAAATGGGATATATAATACAATTTTGCTCTTGTGTATTAAAGCTGCTGGTTGTGGGTTTTTTAATGCTGTGGTTTTCCCTCTTGCTTGCAGCTGGATGAAGGTACACCTCCAGATCCCAAGGGAACCTTTGTCGATTATCAGACCACTGTGGTGAAATATTCCAAGGCCATTGCTGTAACAGCACAGGAAATGGTAAGAAATGAGCTTACAACAGGGTGCAAACTCTGTGTGGGTAAGGAATATGGAATTATTTGCACTGTTGTGACACTCCTGATCATCAAATTTTCAATAAATTTCTCTTTAGGGGTAAGGGAGCAGAAGAGGTGATGATTTTGTCCATTTAACTCTTGCATCTTAGTGGTATGATCCTCTGTGGGAGGAATGCTGGATTGTGTTGTGGCTCTTCTGCACAAAACCTTCTTATTTGGCTCGTTTTTGAGGAGAAATAAAGGGCAAAGTTTTCCCTACGTGCTTTTTCGTCAGCCTCTTTAATTGGGCTGAACCACCACCTTTTGTTGGTCGATGAATTCAGGTTACCCTTTCACCCTGGGAAATAACATCAGTGTTTTCAGGGCCCTGCAATACTCAGGGAGAGAATGCAGATCAGCATCTCACAGTGTCCTTTCCTTTCCTTTCTGTGATCCACTGGTTTGAACAAAAGCCAGAAGGGACAGCTGTTGGATGGAGACTGCTCTTGACTCGTGTTTCACAGTTAATGTTCGTGTGTTTGCCCTTTGCACAGTTCTGTGGTTGCTCATTTGTTCTCAGGAGAGTTGACAGGAATGTTTATGTTACAGGCAGGATTTGTCACGAAGTCCATTGCTCTTGCAGTCCAGACAGGTTGATGATTCCTCTATCTATGACATTATAAGTGTATCTAAAACTAGTTTTGTCCTGAGAATGGAACTCTATGCTTTTACTAAGATTGAGACATTAATTGAGAAATATCTCTGTTATATGGTAGCTTTTTCTAAAGAGAGATTCAGTTATTTCACAGAATCAGCCAGCTTGGAAAAGACCTCTGAGATCACTGAGTCCAACCTTGACCCAACACCACCCTGTCACCCAGCCCAGGGCACTCAGTGCCACATCCAGTCTCACCTTAAACACCTCCAGGGACGGTGACTCCACCTCCTTGGGCAGCCCATTCCAGTGTTTAATCACCCTTTCTGTGGAGAACTTTTTGTTAATGTCCAACCTAAACCTCCACTGGCACAGCCTGAGACTCTTGTCCTCTTGCCCTACTTTTGGTTGTCTGGGAGCAGAGACTGATCCCACCTGGGAGGGTATTTATACTGATATATTTATACTGATATATAGTATTTATACTGATACACAGTATTTATACTGATACACATCCTGACATTCTACTGAGATGTTCTGCCTGGTCCTCCTATTTCTTCTCCATCCTGTTCCCACACCTGAGGGGTGTTTTGCATCGCTCCTCAGACATTTTCCATGCCCATGCTCCTGAGCCATCAGAGCTGAGGCTGGCAGAGGTTCGTCACCTTTGACAAAACCAGGTGGTTGTGACACACAAAACCCGCTCCCCTTCCCGGCCCAAATAACTGCATCCCCGGCCCCCCTGTGCCCAGGAGTGAATTACTGCCTCTAACTGCTGCTCTTTGCTGACCCGTGTGTTCAGCCGGTGCCTGGTTCCTGTGACTCTAATAAAGCATGTTTGCTTGGATGTTTTTGGAGCTCTGGCTGGAGGGCAGGTCCCCCCCAGGGCTGGGGTTTTCCCCAGGTCCCCGGCTGACGCCAGAGCACATTAACGGGTTGTTCTCACGCCTGTCGTTTCTCTCTCGCCTGTGTTCTCTCTGCAGATGACTAAGTCGGTTACTAACCCGGAGGAGCTGGGCGGACTGGCCTCGCAGATGACCAATGACTATGGGCATCTGGCTCTGCAGGGCCGGATGGCTGCGGCTACGGCAGAACCAGAGGAGGTCTGAGCTTCTGGGGCCTCTTCATCCTCTGCACGTGGGGGGGTTCACTGGGTGTGCTTTCACTGCAGACAGCACAGCAAAGGCAGCAGGCCTTGTTGTGAGAATTCCCCACCCAAAGAGCAGAAACCCTCCGGCAAAACCTCTGTCCGGCTTCAGAAGGAAACAGCTTGGGATAACAATGGGCAATTCTACAGGCTGGGACAGAACCTCTTGAACTGGGGGGGCTCCTCCTTGGGGCCTTTGCTTACAGGCAACTTGCAAATGCAAAGAAAGCTCTCGATTTGTTACCATACAGCTTTTCCTTCCATCTCACCTGCTTTGACAAGTTACAAATTTACACAGGCTTTTTTCATCTTGCCTCTAAGTGATTTCAAGGGTAACTTCCTGTCCTGAGAGTTGAGAATCAGGCAGGTGGTAGGAGCACAAGTTTCTTTTGCTGACAGGACATGTTCTGTACCTCAGAGTCAGAATGTGGGGTGTGAGAAGTGTCTCATGGGCCTCGTGCTGAAGGAGGAAAACAGACTGTTCACCTCAGTTCATTAACCTGTTATGGCAGTTGCTGCATATTCTCTGAGCCCGACTACAGGAACCCTTTTGCCCCTCTTTTCTCTGTGCCCCTGGTTATGGAGCACAGACAGACTGTGTCGAGGTGGGATGAGAGGGTATCTCACCTTCTCCAGATGTATCAGATTATTTAGATAAAAGACCTTCAAAGAGGTTTTAACTTTGTCCTTGCATATCCTGCTGATACTCTGAGTGTTTGATGCTCAGTAGGTACGTGAAAAGCAATGGCTTGCACTTGACTTGATCTGACATTGAGCTGCCACTTGTGCACGTTATGTTCTGCCTGAGGTTGAAATAATTCTGTTTGTGATACTAATGGCTGTGATCCCTGCTCATTTATTAATCCCCAGTCACACCTGTATGCCTAAGTACATGCAGGTACTGAAACTATCTGAGTACTCTTTAGAAACCTGTGTTTCTAAACAGGGACTATTCATCTTATGATGTAGGATTGTTGATAAATCAGAAGCAGCAACAGCAGGATTGTCCATGTTTCAGTGCTCTGCACGTTCATGGCTGGTTCTGCAGACAGTGTGAGGTTCAAAACCAGAGTCACACACTTCTTGATCCAGTTTAATGAGTGTAGACTGTAGTAAAATGTGTATTTTGTACCCATCACACGTCCCTTGAATACAGCTCACACACTGTACAGACACAGCTCCCTCTGACTCACTGCACACCTTGTCCCTTTTCCTTCCCTCGCTCTGGTTCTCATCAGTGGGGTTCTCATCAGCCTTCCCTGGCTCTGTTTCATCAGTGGGGTTCATGCATAGCTGGAATTCCATCTGTCCTCTATTTCTGGTATCTGCAGAGCGTGTAATGGTGGGGGAATATTGGTAACAAAGATTCCCCAGAGCGACCGTGTTTCCCTTTCTATTGACACAGTGTACCAGCATTGACATCTGTTAATTTGCTCTGCCCTTGACTCCTTTCTCCCTGTACCTCCTTTACCATCTAGATCGGGTTCCAGATCAGGACTCGGGTGCAGGAGCTTGGCCATGGCTGCATCTTCCTTGTGCAGAAAGCTGGAGCCCTGCAGATTTGCCCTACAGACAGTTACACCAAGAGGGAGCTGATCGAGTGTGCTCGAGCTGTCACAGAGAAGGTAGGACAGCCCTGTGAGCTGCCCCACTGTGCTCATGCACTGAGAGTGAGCGTCAGCTGCTTTCAGACCTCACCAAACACTGCTGGCCCAGCCTGTGCTGGTGTGCTCTCAGCTGTGCCCCAGGAGTAGCAATGACCCCGAATTTAGGCAGGGGTGGACAGTGTCTTGTGAGTAAAGGTACAGCTGGTAAAGAAACTCCTGATGATTCACAGCACCCACTTTGTTTCGATGACTGCCTTGTTGCTTTCTGTTGTTTGCAGGTGTCGTTGGTTCTGTCTGCCCTCCAGGCAGGGAACAAAGGCACCCAAGCCTGTATCACTGCTGCCAGTGCCGTGTCAGGGATCATTGCAGACCTGGACACCACCATCATGTTTGCCACTGCTGGCACCCTCAATGCTGAGAACAACGAGTCCTTCGCTGATCACAGGTCAGCGGGACTGAGGAGATGGAGGAGCACGTGCTCAGGGAACAGTGGGACTGGCAGGAGAGACTGGCACATGGGGATGAGTTTTTACCTGTCTGGATTCATGGGAGTGAAACTGGATGAGTGAGAAGAGAAACAGGGATGTGGGGGTATCAGCAGAGTACAGCAAACTGGAGTTTGGTGCCTTCTGTGATCAAAGAACTTTAAAAGCTGAGGAACATCTGGTGACAGAGCTTCCAGCAGAAGACTGCAACTCTAGCACTATTTTGGCTTTTTTTTGGTGTCATTGCATGGACTGCCATGCATTGTTATCCCAGTAGTGCAAATGAGCTGTCTGTGACATTAAGAGGAATCTTTTATATTCTTTTTCCAACAGCTGTTCTTGACTGTCTGGCTGTTTGTCTTGCTAAATCATGCTCATGGTTAATGCTGCTGTGGACAGCAGGGATGGAAACAGCACAGCCATGCCACGCATTTTCCACTTTATCATAGAGATAAGCCCAGTACTCCTCTCAAGCAGCACCTGGGACAAAATAATCCCACAGCATTTGCCATCCCATCAGCAGATTTACAGCATCTGACTGGTTGTTTCACAGTAAAGCCCAGGCTTCACAGCCAAGGCCCTGCCTTCCTGCTGCACAGCCTGCTTGGCCCACACAGCTCTTGCATGGCCAGCATTTATTCCCTTCCCTCCCAGTTGCTGAAGGAAGAGGGAAGATGCAGAGGTGTCTGAGCTGCTGCTGCTCTGCAGATTTATAGTCAGGGGTTTTCATACAGGTGTCACTCATTTATTCCCAGGCTGACATTTTATATTAATATGGTCCTAGTTTCAGTTCATTTGACTTGTTTGGGAACTGCATAATCCAAGTGATTTCTTGTTTCATCCACATGTTGCTTTGGATGTCCTGGCAGGTCACAACATGTAAATAGGGGAAGTGGGGAGGGAACCCTGACTAGGACAACTTCCCTGTGTCTGTTGCCATTCTTGCTATTACCTTCCTTGCAAATGAGAATTATTTTAGTTTCCTTACAATATGCTGATGAGTGTGGACATTCAGCAGCTGGTGCTTTTATCACAGCATGGCCAGATTTTCTTTTGCTGTTCAAATCCAATGCTCTCTGCAGCTACTGCCCTATCTAATTTCCTTTCAAGGTGGGGTCATTTTAATAAACTGCCTTGCATCTGCCCAAAATGTTCTGCTACTGTTTTAAGTCACCTTTTTTTTTTGCTTTCTGAACTCCCACCCTGACCTGTGGGATATTATGAGCAGACACTGGCATGATGGCTTAGATCAGCTCCTTTATGGAGCTGTTAGTCACCATAACATTGGAAAACACATTTTTTTCCTCTTCTCCTTTTCCACTTCCTTCCCTGCTTCCTCTTTTTTTTTTTTTTCTTTTGCTACAGGGAAAACATCCTGAAAACAGCAAAAGCTTTAGTTGAAGACACAAAACTGTTGGTTTCTGGTGCTGCCTCAAGTCAGGACAAACTGGCCCAAGCAGCTCAGTCCTCAGCCAACACCATCACTCAGCTTGCTGAGGTGGTGAAATTGGGAGCAGCAAGCTTGGGATCCGATGATCCTGAAACACAGGTGAGATGTTTTAAGATATTTCTGATACTCTGAAGGAGAACAGAGACAGTTTTCAGTTGGGAGAACTGTGTGGGTCTTCTGCTTTTGAGCATCATAATGGGATTCATCTCCCGTGGGACTCCTCTGGGTTTGCTCAGATGTCACTGGTGTTTTAGAACATAATCAGGAGGTTAAAACACTGAGTTGTGCCTTTGTTTAACACTTGTGCTTTTATTGCACTGCTGTGTTCCAGCTGGGATGCTTTGGGCAAAGGGTTTGGCTTGTTTTTACTAACTTGTGATTGGACTCCTGGCTCATCCCATTTTCGTTCTGAAGGGTTTCATGTCCCTACAGCTGCTTTAAAGCTTTCAGCTGGACTGTGCACTGTTACTGGTGTGGGCTGACAGGCTCCTGCCATCCTCTCCCTGGATCTCACTGGCTTTTCACTTAACTTGCTAATTTTCAATGTGGATTCTCTCTAATATTTCCTCAGCTGTTTGTTTGGATCTCAGTGAAATGGAGGTTGGCAGCACGTTGCAGATGGGCCTGTGGTGGGACCAGAATAGTTTGAAACCCCCTGCTGGTGTGGAGAATGCTCTGAAGCAGATGTGTGTTCTGTTTAGCTTGACCTGTGTGATGAACTAAACCTCTGACATGTTCCTCTCCAGGAATATTCTGCTGGAAGCACTTTTTTTTTTTTTTTTTTTTTTAACCCAACATCTGCAGAGCATTTATCACACATTGCTCTTCTGTTTGTAAAAGCTGAGAATACAGCACTTAAAATAAAAGCTGTTGTGCACAAGCCATTATTTATTTGGAGCAGTTTTGTGTTGCCAGTTGGAAATTGTAGGTGCATTGTGTGTCCTAACTGGAGCACATGATGCTCCCACAATTTTTTTCATAGCAGTAACATTTATTTTACCTGGTGTGATAGTTTCAAGTGGCTTTTACTGCAAGTTGCCCCATGACATTGGCAGCTGGACACCAGAGCAACTCAAAATTCTGGCCTCTCTCTCAGATTTTTTTCTTACTAATGTGGTCAAAGAGCTTCCAAGGTCTGAGTTAAATAAACTCAGAAAAAGCCAAGACCTCTCTTGTTCTATAAGTTATAGTAACACAAAAGATGGAGCTGATTTATTATTATTTATAATGCTGCAGAAATGCAGTTATTGAGTGGTGATTGTTCCTAGCAATAATCTTTCTCTTTTGCTGAGCTTTCCTATTTTTCATGCGTCTCTCCACATTTTCCTTAGAATTAACTCTGTTCAATTCCATCAAAATATTTAAAACATCTGATTTTTCTGCTGGTGGAAAGAGCAAAGGAGAAGGATGGGGAGGAGAGAATTGCTCCAGTAATACCTTGAAATATTTAACAGTGCCTGGGACTCTTGTCTTTGAGCTCAGATTGAGGAGACAATATCTCCAGAACTGATTTTTCATTACTTTTCAGCATTTAATTCCATATAACCTCTTAGAGTTCAACTTCCCCTCCAGAGCCTTCACCAACAGCTTCTCCAACAGTTTAATGTCTTTGTTATGTTGTGGCACCCAGAACTGCACAAGTCCTTGAGGTGAGGCCACACCAGAGCAGAGCAGAGGGAAATCCTACCTGCAATCAGCATTTCAACTTCTTCCTGTGACAGGAATTGTCAGTTTTATAGACTCTGACTGGTGGATGAAACACTCTAGCTCTCAGCACAGCCTCTCCTCTTCCAGAATATTGTGATTTACCGGGGTAGGGGGAGGGTGGGACTATTTAGTAGGTATTTTTCAGCTGTGTCCTAAAAATCCCACCCTCATGCAGGCCCTCCCTGTAGTGCCTGAGCCTGACAGCTGCTGCTCATTCCTGCAGGTTGTCCTCATCAATGCCATTAAGGATGTTGCCAAGGCCCTCTCTGACCTCATCGGTGCTACCAAAGGAGCTGCCAGCAAACCAGCAGATGATCCCTCCATGTACCAGCTCAAAGGGGCTGCCAAGGTAAAACCTTGTCCTTGCACTGTGTTTGGAAGTGTCTGTGCAGCCACATTTGATAGACACGTGAAGCTGGGACCAGGCAATTTCTGACTGCCTGAAAACTCATCATCATCCTGGCATGATACAGAAGAACAAGATGCTGTTGAGTTTTGATGAAGCTCCAGTTTTTCAAGGCTGTCAGGTGACTTTGGTGGTGTTGGTGACAGAACTGTGATCTTTCTGAAGAGAAATTTCTCTTTTACAGGCCCATATCTGAGGGCAGGTTCTCCTTTCATAACTAGATAGACTACAAATTAGCCAGTATAAACTGGTAGCTAGATACTACATTGCAAACAATAAATGTTCAGGGTAAGCTCATTGACAACTTGCAGCCTGGGGAGGGAGGGAGGGAGATAAAACAACCTTCTCTAGCTCTGTGTGAGGATGTTGTGCTTTTCCAACTCCTCTCTCCTAGATCTTTGCAGGAAGCACACAGGTATCAAAGCTCAAATCTTGCAGAGATTATGCCCTACCTGTGATACCTTTATTTTCCCTGCACCTGAGGTGTGTTGATTCCATTTGCCTCATGGTGATCGTGTGGATTTGTGTCTCCAAAGGATTTCCAGGTGTGGGGATCTTGGTGGTGTTGTTTCCCCCTTCCTGTTGTGACAGTGCTGTGGTAGCTGCTTGCCTGGCTGGCAGCAAGCACTCTCACATCTCCTGCCTGCCCGTGAGAGCTGTTCCTCTCTGCCTTGCAGAGGACATGCTTCCAGTGTTCTGTTGAGGCACTGCTTGGAAAATAACTCGAACAGTCAAGAAAAGTGGCTCCTCCCACTGTGAAGAGGTGTCTGACAAGTCATCATTGTCAAGAATTTGGCTTTTCTGTCTATACTTTTTTCGTTGTAGCTGCTGTTTGTGTGTCAGCGTGCTGGGTTGGAGGAAGGATGGAGCTACTGCAATGACAATTAGGTTATTCTGCATCACAACTACTGAGTTTGTAGAGGAACAGTAACACTGATCCTGTATCTCCATTTGGGCTTGAGGCTGGTCTTGGACTCCTTGCTCACCTGGGGTTTTATCTGACTGCAGGGAATGTAGTGGACACATTTCAGAAAGCAATACCCTCCCTCAATTCCTGTCCCCTTCAACCTGCAGTGGGAGATGTGCAGGAGGAAAAGACAGTGACATACTCTAGATAAGTTGGGATTTTTCCATTTCTTTGGTAATTTTTTTGCCAGAGCACTCACACTTCAGATATAGTATCTCTGTGCAGTTAATTGTGCAACATTTCTGCAGCTCATGAGGAGCTCTCAGAACGTGGCCAGCACAAGAGCTGGTCAAGAGTCCTGTGAAACAAGTACAGTTCAAGAAGTCTCTCAGGTCTCATTAAGAAGTAACAATGCTGCCTACTTGAATTTGCCTTGCTCACCCTGCTGTCTCTGAAAAAGGGGAGGAAGCATTCATGTATTTTTGTGCTCCCTTCTCTCTTCAGGTGATGGTAACAAATGTCACCTCCCTGTTGAAGACTGTGAAAGCAGTGGAAGATGAAGCCACTCGAGGGACGAGAGCTCTTGAGGCCACCATCGAGTACATCAAGCAGGAGCTGACGGTGAGAACAGAACAGCCCTTGGAAGTGGTTTTTGGGAGTGGATCCTTGCACTAAACCAGGCCTGTGCTTTACTGCCTTGCACTGCACCGGGTGCAGTTTGGCTCTCTCTACCTGCTGCAAATCATCTCTGAATGTACAATTCCGATCCACTTCAGCCCCCCCACTTTCACAGATTACCAGTCCCCACTTTGAGGCTGAAGATGCTCCTGTCAAGTACAGAACTGGAAGCAACTGCTTCCTTCTTCTCCAGGCCTTAAGCTTTCCCTACAGGTGTTCTGTTCTGAGTCTGATGCTGTTCCTTTTGTTTTTTGATCCTGGCTTTGGGGGAGTCTCCTCAGCATCACTGCCCAACTACATCTGCAGTTTAATGTTTCTGGTTTTCCTCTGTTATGAAGTGATACTACCAGGGATACAGAGCCTGCTGTCTGATATTCTGGGTGAGCAGGAATTAAAGATAGCATGGAATTCTCTCCCAAATAAGATGTTAGACCATGACAATTGTTTTCCTTCCTCTTTAAGGTATAAAAATGCAGCCTCCAGCTGCAGCTTTCAGTTATTATTTTTTACTAGCACAGTAGTCAGTGCCATAAATAATACCTGCATATTTGTGAAGGAGCCTGATTTTTTTTCTCTTTCTTTTACTTACAGTCATTTAATGTAAAAAGCTCTCTGACACAATCTTCACAGCAGAAAATTCTTTGATGTGTAGTCTGTGGATTAGCAATTCTTAACTGTAATGGCACTGGCACAGCTCTGTCAAGTGCTCTCCATAAAACAATGGGTTTTGATTGTGTGAGCAATGCTGTTGTAATGGAGAAATTTATTTTAAATTATTCACATGGCAGTGATAAAACCTCCTGACTTGGTACCTGAGCAGGGATGTTCTGTACCACATCCAGTGCATGTTGCTGTTGTTGTGATGCTTTTGAAGGCCTGGCCTTACATCCCTGCCCGTAACTGAGCTGAAACCTGGCCAGATCTGGCACTGGAGGATTGGGCATTATCACTTCTGCTTGGTACCTGTTTGAGGTGTTCCTCCTTCTGCTTTTGCCAGCATGGCTAAGGATGGATCTGTGCTGGTGTCCCACCTCTGTCATGGGGAAAGGTGGAGTAAAGGCGGGTCAGGAGGAACAGGGGATGGTTTTTAAGGGTGTGCTCAAGAAAATGCATCAGGTTTGATTTGGAATTGCAGGGACTGAGCCTGAGCAATGTCAAATATCCTTCACACACTCAGCTAGAATTTACTGTTTAATGTTGCTTCCATTTCTGGAGAGAGAAAGTGAAAAACTGATGAACTGGGAGCACGGGATAGACCTGGCTCATTTTTGTCCAGACATTTGTCTTCTGAAAGCATTACCCTGCTTGGGTTGCTCTGTGTGGGGCCAAGAAACCTCTCCTGATTCACTGTGCCCTCCAAGTTGTCCCTGCACTTCATAAGCATGGCAAGTAAATAGAGACTGGAGCTGGGGAGAAGAAAATACAAGATGAGTGAGGTTACCCAGCTCTTCTTACGTAGCGTTACTGCAGTTCCTGTGTTCCAGCGTTCATGAGGACTGTGCACTGCCAGATAATGGGAACTATTTTCACACAATTCACCCTGCAAAATGATATCTTTAGGTTTCTAAGGGGGAACTAAATATAGTTGAAGAGACAAGGCTCCACCTCTGCTGTTTGAAGACACATTTGAATGTTTCTGTGATGCTCTCGGTCTGTTCTGCTCTGTGCTGGCAATGAGGGCTTGCGAGGGCCCAGCCTTTGCAGGGGAAGGATCTGCTCAGGTGAGCAGACCAGCCTAAACAGCAGACAGGATGAAAAAAGAGTGTAAATAAAGGAATAGTCATTCTTATCCTCCTGTAATGCTCTGAACAGCTGTCTGGAACAACTGCGAGCCGGGTGGTTACGTGGCAGGTGAGATGAAGGGGTTAACACCTTTTATTACATCCTTCCCTCAGCTTATTGTTTCCCTCTGGTGTCTGGAGGTGAGCAGGCTTATCTGATCCAGGCTTATGACAAGCCAGGATGATATCCAAGCACTCCAGATATGTTTCCAATTTCCTGCTGTTCAGGGGCCGCTTCCATCGGCCGCCTCCTCCTCCTCCTCGAGGCCGTGGCTCAGACTGCCCTCCTGCTTTCACTTTCAGGTGTTCCAGTCGAGCGAGGTTCCAGAGAAGACATCATCCCCCGAAGAGTCCATCCGGATGACGAAGGGGATCACCATGGCAACGGCCAAAGCTGTTGCAGCTGGGAACTCGTGCAGGCAGGAGGATGTGATCGCCACAGCCAACCTGAGCCGCAAGGCGGTCGCTGACATGCTGACAGCCTGCAAGGTAAAGATGAACTTCACTTGCTTGCCTAACACTGAGATTTTGTGTGTGTCTGTGCCTCGAAATCCATAGAACATCGTGGGTTTGTGTTCAGGTTCTTTGTGTTAACGCTCTGCTTTTCACTGAGGAAGTTAATGGTGAGGAGAATCTTCAGGGAACGTGTCTCTCCAAAGTGTTTTGTGTGCTGTGCATTAATATTGACTGGTTTCTTTTTGTGAAAGTGGGAAATTCTATTTGGGCTGAAATTTCCTCGTTTCCAGTCAGGAGACAAATAATCTGAGCAAGTGGCAGAATATACAAATAATCTTGTGGTCACAAATACCATTTTAATGTTCCTAGGAACAGTGAAAGGAATGGTGAAAGGAATCCCTCTGGTCTATTTTTAGTATTCCTTTCCCCCCTAAGCAAACCTGTCCATTTGCTCAGTTTCTTCTGTGCTTTCTCAAAATGTTTTACATTTGCACTAAAAATAGCGGTGCCCTCTTTGCAACACTTGCTTGAGCAGGACAACTTTGACAAAGTGCCCTGCCAGACCTGGGGGGAACTATTGAAACCATTTGGCTTTGTTCTGATGACAGAAAACAGCTAGGCATAAAGAATTAAAAAATGGGATTATAAGGATCTCATTCCTTTTGGTCTTCAGTTCTAAATAACTGTAGTAGTAAAGTGCCTTTACCTGTAAATCATATTTCCTTCTGCATTTCCGTGTGTGGAAGGGGACAGTGAAATAATCGTGCTCTCTGTGTGGGGTTTTTTTCCAGCATTTGGTCAAATCCTAACTGCTTACCTCAGTCCCAGGTTAATTTTTAACCCAATACTGACAAACAGAAGGGTTAATTTTGCTTTTAAAATGATCCTCCTGCAAAAGGGCAAGTTATATTAGAACTTAGAACTGCATTTTTACAAAACCACTGAATAAAGCTTTTTACCTTGGCTCAGTTTCCTAACGGGTTTTTGAGCATCTCACAGTTCTTGACCCCTTTTCACCCCCCCAAATTTTGATTCTGTCCTCTCCATAACCTCAGAAGATCAGCACAACAAAGCAGCTCCAATTTGCATGGGAAAATTAAACTGCACTACTTACATAAGAACTACCATAGCCTAATTAGTGTTAGGGACAATCCAGTTAATTGAAACCGGTCAGGGAAGTTCAGGACAGTTTACAGTTGTGTAGCATTCTGACAGATCGATTCAGATGCACATCAATTCACATCCTCTGGCATTTTGAAGCGGCCAGTGCAGGCACAGTTTAGTTTTCCATCCCTCCAAACAGGCAGCAAATTCCCAGGCACAGAATCCTCTCTTCCTAACAACATCACAAACACCCTGGCAGGCACACACAGCTCAGGAGTGGCTTTGGAACATTGCTATTTTATATTCATGTTTGCTCCCAGTTAATGTAAATGGCTTCTGAGTGGTTCATCCAACGGGATGGAACTTCCTGCAGAGTGAACAGGGGAGCTCTGGGGTGCTGGAAGAGCATTTGTGATCTCCCAGGGAATTGCTCTGACAAAGAGAGGAAGATGGCTGGGAATCATTTTCCTTACCTGCAGTCATACAGTGCCAAGGCAGCAGATCTGGTTTTGTCATGTTTAACTTTCTTAAGATCAAGAGCATTTATTGGGCAAAGAGGAATGAAAGTCTTCAGGAATACTAATTTTTTGCATTATCTAAAATGTTGGAAAAATAATCAGTCACTTAAGAAAGCTTTTAAATACACAGTCTGACCCAGACTTGATTTAGAAAATCTTGGGTTAGGTCCCAATTCAGAAAATTCTGCTCAGAGACTTAGAAATCTGATGCCATTAATTCTACAAATTGGCATTTCCACGATAAGCCACATTGCTGGTTCCTACCCCTAAAACTCAAGCAGTCAACCCCACTGTGCTGTAAGAGCTGTGTGATGCAGTGCCACTTGGCTTTTGTGGCATTTAACAAATCCTGGAGGATTTCTAGTGTTATTAAGCTGATCTGTAGAATAAGCACTTGATAAACATCAGATTTTTATGTCCTTTGGGCCGAGACAGAAGTGTGTGTGTGATCAGTGGTAGAATTGCACAGAACGTGGCTCTGACTTCCCCAGAGTCAGGAATTTAAATGTAAGTTCTACCTCATTGCCAGTTGCCTGAGGCAAGTAGTACAAGGGACTGGAATTATGAGCAGCTGTATAGATGGTTGTGCTTGTTCTGCTGTACATGAATTTACAGTGCTCATTACTAATTCTGTATTTATAAGTAGATGCTATTTCAAAAGACAATGAGATTGCTTGGGGGACGTAATGAACCAAGACAACTCTCATTAAAGTCAATGGAAACACTGTAATTACATTTATTGAAGGTTAGAGCAGGCCCTAAGATAACAACAATTACTTTATTATTTGTATAAAATAATGACTATGCTGTAAGTAACCTGGGCATAATATCAGTGTTTGCAATGATTGCTGTTGGAAAGGAAACAGATAGGAAAGGTCCATCAAAACCATAGCAAACAATTGCATGAGTAATCACTGAGATCACTGCCCAGCCAGGAGACTTTCTCTCCTACAGATGCTTGCTCTAATTGCCTGTGCTACAGAAATATGAAGTTGGAGACATTATAGGATGCTTTACAATATATTCGTAAGGAACACTGGGAGATCCTTTGCCCTGCTTGAAAAATTGTTTAAAAATGTTCTGAATTCTTTGGGCTCCTGGAGCTCATTTGAAGTGGGGCTGAGGATGAGGAGAATCCTGGGCTGGCTCCTCCCATCTTCTCGCCCTTTACTTTATTTGCTGGCAGGATTTTCCTGCTCTGCTGATCCTGAGTTTCCCTGCAGAGGGAGCCCAGAGACCAGCGCTGCTTGGGATGTGGTGGGTTGCAGGAAGGGCCTAAAATAGGCGAGCAGTGAGATAATCCCCAGCCTGAGGGAAGATAAGAGGCTGCAGGAGTGGAAGGAGATGCTTTGTGGGAGGAAACGCTAAATTTTTTAATATTTAGGAACTGTCACCTGTCAACAGTTGGTCCTTCTGTTCAATAAAAGAATTCCCTAGAAGTTTACTGTGGAAAATGCAAGGCTCCACGAGGCTATAGTTTTTCACTTTTCATTAGAAATAAATTGAGTTAGTAAGGCTTATGTAAGATGTAAATGGTCTTTTATGGGTGGCAAAACTGGACTTGCAATTTCTATTTTTGTTAATCTTAGTAAAAAAGAACCACACTAATAAAACCTTTGCAGTGTAGAACAGTGTATTTACAAAATCCAAGAGCCCCATGAACCCCAAGATGCTTTTCGCTATTTGCATTGGAAGGAATCACAGTAGAGAAGAAAACTCCATTTTCAGATGGTTCTTCAAGAGTTTGTGTTTGTTCTTCACTGGCAGCAAGAAGCAGCACTAGTGCTGGTAGAAAGGCTGCAGATGCTCACCCAGACAGGAGAATGTGCTGATGAAAGGCCAAGTGTTCCCAGTGCCATTTCAGAAGGGGAGCTCTGCTGCTCCTCCAGCACAGCTTGCTTACAAATTGTCAGTGAAAAGGGGTGGCCCTGCAGCTCAACTGGCATTTGCACACTATAAGAACATCTCTTCCCTTCCCTTTGCCCTGTGTCTCCTCTGTGGGAGCAGTTTGGGTACTGATGTTGTTTTGCCTCCTCAGCAAGCGTCGCATCACCCCGATGTGAGCGAAGAGGTTCGAGAGAGAGCCCTGCGCTTTGGCACGGAGTGCACCCTGGGCTACCTGGAGCTCCTGGAACACGTGCTCCTGGTAAGGAATCCTGCAGCCATCTCCTGCATCACTGCCAAGGAGAGCCATCTCCCTGCCCTCTTCCTACAGTGGTGCCAGTGACACGTTTTGGTCAGTTTGCTGTAAGTTATGATCAGTTCTGCTGTTCAGGAAAAGCAGCGAAAGGAATCCAGAACTGCAGCTCAAACTGAGAGACAGAAGGAACACTGGAAGACTTGAGTGGAACTGCATTCTGGAGCAGATCTGGACCTAAAAAAGGTCCCTGACAAGTAAATTAAGACATTTCAGTATTCTCTTAAGCCCACAATAACCACCAGACATGTGTTTTAAACCCAGGCCAAAGGGGTTATGTGAGATATATGAAGACACTGTTCCAGGCCTTTTGCTGTCACACCTGCTCAGTGCCACCCCAAAACCCCCCGCCAGCACTGCCTCACCAAGAGCTCTCCAGCACATCGGCCAGGACACCCCCAGAGCTCTGCATAAAACCCCCCTGCACTCAAACCCAAGCTCAGGAATCCTGCTGGCAGTTGGCTTTTCTTGACCATACAGAATTAATTGTAATTAAAAATGAAAATGTGCCTGTTCAGAATTGAACTTCACTGAGTGTCTGACTGTTTTTCATTTGAAGAAGCCCAGTTTAATACTTGATAGAAATTAAGCTCAGAAATGTCTGTCTTGCCCAGAATTGGCCTTTCCATTGTGTCCCCAGTCTCTGATTTTTTCCAGAACAGGCAGCTGGCTTCCAGAACTCTGTCATTCTGTCTCTCAGAAATGGTGACCAACCAATCTGTTCATGTTAGAAAATCAGCTCCTCTCCAGGAGTCTAGAAAGGCTGAGCCTGACCCATAGTGTGGTGACTGTAACACCTGAGCTTGGAGCGCTAAAACTGCATATTCCTGCCACATACTCACACATGTGCCTCTGGTTTGGATCATTCTGCCCTAGGGGGAGGATTGAGAACTCCCAGACGATGCTGTCAGTGGCTGCAGCAGTGCCACTCGCCTGGTGTGCATCCCCCCTGCAGCCTTGGCTCCTAGAGCTCCACTGGCAGTTGGTGTTCTCTCACTGGGCTCGTGTTTTCCCTCAGATGATCTCTGTATAAAATCAATCCTTCACTGGTGTGCCTTGGGAATGCTCCAGCATTCCCTGGAATCCTCACTAATATGCACTATTTACCTTTTACCTGTGTCTGTAGATCCTTCAGAAACCAACCCCAGAGCTGAAGCACCAGCTGGCCTCGTTGTCCAAGCGCGTTGCGGGTGCCGTGACAGAGCTCATCCAGTCAGCAGAGGCCATGAAGGGTGAGTGCTGTGGCCTTTGCTCCAGAGAGGATCATCTGTCATTTCTGTATTTGAACCAAACCCCCTCCCAGTGTGCTCTAGGAGTGCTGGTATCACCTGCTTCCTTCTCTGAATTTCCCTGCTGTCATTCCCTCATTCAGTGCTGGTGGACAAGTGTGTCTGACCCTCCTCCCCTTCCTGGCTGGTTCTTTTCCTCACACCCCCATTTGTGCAGTCAGAAGAAGTCCTTTGCTTTGCAGTGCTGATTGCTTTCCAGCTGCAGGTAACAGGGGATGCCATCCCCTTACACACTTTGATTTTTGATCTACCCAACCTTCAGCAATGCTGTCACTTGTGGTGCTTCCCAGTGCTGTGTCTGGGTCCTGCCCTGGCGAAGTGTGTTCATGAAACAAGGAGGTTGCAGAAAAGTGTTGTCTGGATGGTTTCCTGAACCCTTACAGTTGAACAAATTGTGGGCAAATCTAAATCCAGCACTCAAATAAGCAATGAATTCCACTGTTCTTAGAACACTGTCCCAAGGTCACTCTTCTTATAATAAATGATATTTTTCTAAGTTACTGGCTTACTAAAATTTTTATCCAGTAATGCATGTGAACTGTTATAATCACAGTTCTAACATTATGCATTTTAAGGAAGATGAATACATTCGAGGGTGTGGTATGAAGTATTAGACCACTGCTGTTGAAGCACAGCCACTCCAGATTTCCTGGGAACTGTAGGCTAAAGGAATCTCACAGCCATCAGAATGCTGTATGAGCACTCTATAATCTCATAGGTAATAGAATATTTTAAATAAAGCACTATTGTATTTTTTTTAAAAAAATTATATTAGACATTTTTATTTTAAAACTTCTTCTTTTTTCTTTTAAATTCTACCCCCATTAAGGCTTCTAGTAAATCCATATTTGTTCAATCATTCTTTGCTAAGCTAATTCAGAGAACACTATACTCATTTTTCTGATATTCTGTGTAATGTATAGTGCAGGTTTTCCTCAGTTATTCCCTGCTATAATCAGTGCATGTTCCTTGGAAATGAACTCTAACTAAGCCCTTTTCATATATTCATATTATTACCTTCCTGCCTTCCTTCCTTCAACAAGCCAAACCAACAACAGAATATTTCTATTCCCTAAGTGCTCCTAAAAATCCTTATACTGTCCTCCTCTTTGAGGACATTGATTAATTTCCAGCAATCATTGCATTTTAATTCATATTCATTAAAATAAAAAGATCAGGTTTGGTTTTTTGGGTTTTTTTTCACTTACTGCCTGTAGAGCATTTTTTTAAATTCATTCTGGAAGATTTTTTGTGGAAAGGAGTATTTTTTTAACCATTCCCAATTTTCATTTATAGATACACAATAAAGTTGTCTCCTAACAAATTGAAAACGTAAATCTTTTCACCTTTGTGAAAGGCCTGTTTGTGGAGAGGAGCTGCTACATTTTACAAGTTTTTTTTTGACTGTGTTGATATTTGCTGCCTGTATCTCTTCTTTTTTCCCCCCTGTTTATCTCCAATTTTTAGGGCTTAATGTAGAATGTCTTCATCCTGTGCACCCTCTGAGCTGAGAAATGGTCTTCAAACCATGCCCACAGAGGTTATGAACCTCTTTTGGCTGTTTCATTGTTCCCCTCCCTTCAGAATGTGGGTGCTTTCTGAGTCTTGTAAGTCAGACAGTGGTGTTAGGAAATCAAAAATTACAATGCCCTGACGACTTCCAAAAATCTGGGATCACCTCCAGCCAAGTATTCCTGTTGTGGGGCTATAAAATTTCTTTGAGGCGAGAGAAATGCCAAAAAATTCAATAACAATAAATAAATAAATAAATAAAAATTAAAAAAAGCTTTCTGTGTTTGCCAGCTGCCACGTGGCTGTAAGTGCCCTGTGTGAATGGCAGCTCCCAGTGCCACTGCAGTCACTGTCCTCATCTCCGTTCATTCCAGGGACAGAGTGGGTGGATCCCGAAGACCCCACGGTGATTGCAGAGACGGAGCTGCTGGGGGCTGCAGCGTCCATTGAGGCTGCAGCCAAGAAACTGGAGCAGCTGAAACCAAGAGCCAAGCCCAAGGTGAGTGTTTGTGTGAGGTGAATCAAGCAGGGGATGCCCAGAGCCCGTGGACTGGTGTGTGCTGTGTCACTGGCCACAGTGTGGGTACAAACAATCTACCTGAGTGTCAGTGGCACCAGGCAGTGCCCTGGAGGGCTCACCCTGAAGGCACAGGGTGAAAAGGTGCTTCTCAGGGAGTCACTCAAGCACCAGCCACGAGCAGGCAAAGGAAGAAAAGCCCAACGCTGGAAATGCTTGTGAGAGTTATGGCAGAAATTACTGCTGGTTGTTTACATTTCTGTTTCCAAAGACGTTTCAGTGATGTGGAAAGTTGTTCTCCCTTGCTTTCCTTTGAAGGCCCTTTGCCCTCACCTGGATTTGGGTAGTGGGGCAGGAGAAAGCAGCAGCAACACAGAAGGGATTCAACAGAATGCCAAAGACCTGCTGGATTTTCTAAGGCTAAAAATACAGGATTTAATGCCATGTTAAGAGTAGCTGCTTCAGTGTCAAATCAGGTCTGTGGTATGACCATTTCTGTTTAATTTTCCTGAGGGAAATGAAATTACAGCTCGTTATGACAGCGAGCAGCGGTGCCTGCTACCAGGTCATTTCAGATGTGTGTCTATTATAAAATGAAGCCAACTATTTTCATGTGCAGTGCAGGGGGACTGCTGTTCCTAATGCCTGTGTGCAGAGCTCCCAAGAGTGGATCCAGGAGAATTGCTGCCTTTTGCCTGGTGTTGAATAACAGGCAGGTTTTAGAAGGAATTGCCAAGTTGCATCTCTTTAAAATGAAAAATCACGCTTTGGCTGTGGAATTCACTTCAGGAGAGGACTGGGTATCTGTTTTCCTGTTCATGCTGCTTTGTAGGGGCAAAACTCTTCTCAGAGGTCTTTCTAAAAGGCGGGGCCTCAAGAACATTCAGTGCTGGATGTTTTGGGGCAGGGTGGTATTTTGTTGTTCAGGAGCATCAGATGAAATAGTTCTTGGAAGCTTCAGCCTTTGAGGGCTTCCCACCCCCCATCCAGTGATGGGGATAAATTAGCTCACAAAAAAGAAATGCTCTTTGTCCTGCATTTTTTAACAAGTACATCCATTTTGTTTACGAAGAGAAACGGTCCTTTCTAATGAGGTTGTGCAGAGCAGAGGACACAGGGCAGGCTGAGGGTGGGAGAGTGCTCCATCACCTTCTCTGGACAGTCCCTGCACAGTGGCACGTGTGTGTTGCCTGGTGATTGGGGAGCAGGCCCCTTCCACCCCCTCAGCCACTGCAGGGCCGTTGTAATTCCCACTGAATATACAGAGCTCACACCTGCTCCTCGTTTAACATGTTAATTGGGGTATCCAGCCTGCCTGTGATTTACTGGTCTGTTTATTTGTCATGTTCTGAAACTGCAATTGGTGTCCACCTGTTTGTTTGGTTTGGGATTTCAGCTGCCTTTGCCTCTTTTTCAGATGTTTAATCTCCTTCACGTTTTAATACCAATCAGAAGGTGTTAGGAATATCAGAGTGGCTCAAAACCCACTTTTTATGATGAAGACTTGTAGTTTGTATCCTCCCAGAGTAGGATTTCCTGGTCTGAACAGGCTCTGTCTTTCTGATGCTCATCTTTGACAGCGTACACAGGGTTGCAGTAGGAAAGCTCAGAGCAGGGAAGGGGCTGATACAATCACTTTCTCTTATGCTCAGTCTATGAAATGCAGGAATAATCGTTAACTTCTACCATGGAACAGACCTCTGGTCCAGCCAGACCAATATCCTGCTTTGGTTATCAGTGATTATCATCAGTGAACTTGCAGAGAGTCCCTAGTTGGTAATTTTAGAATATCTGCCTGCAGGAAATCCTCCATCATCACCATCATTACTAACTGGTGGGTGATCCTCTACTTTTTGGGTAAAGTTTTTTTTTATTGGGGCAGGGAATTGGAGTAATTTGATTTAGAATTTAATTTTGCAACTTTCATCTTTGTGTGTTCTAGTTTGTCTTTTACCTCTAAAAAAAATTATTACTACTCCCTGTAACACCAGGCCTGTTCAGTTCTCCCTGCAGTGTCCAAGGTGGGAAATGATCTGTGAGGCAAGGAGGGCTTTATCATTTACCAAGCAGGATTTGGCTGTCAGGTTTCCTTTAAAGACATTTTTTCTGAGTATGGACTCTGTTTTTTTTTCTGTTTTCATTTTGGAGGGTCAGGTGTCTGGCAGTGCAGACCCATATTCCTCCTGTTGTGCAGATGTGCTACTGGTGTAAATTAATAACTCCCCAAAGCAGTAATTTTCTGAAGAAGGAAAATATTTTATCTAATAAAAAACTACATGCTGATAGTGGGGAAAAATACTTGTAAAGCAAGAGGTAGGGTAGGTGAGGTTGAAGAGCAGAGAGCATTGCTGTCCTGCCCTGCTGTGTTGTGCTCTTCGTGCCTCTGTGCCCTCCAGATCAGGTGTCTTTACGAGTCCTCAGCAGTTTCCTGGTGGCTTTCAGCACTTGGTCCTTTTTTCTTTTATTATTTTTCCCCAAGATGAATCAAACCTGGATGCCTTTTCCTGCAGGACTCTGTGTGATATGTTTGATATATTAGGTTGTTATTTAATCCAACTATATATCAAACATATTCCTACAGTGTCCTGCCCTGTCTCCGGGGGTTGTGACAGAGTAGAAGGCCATAAGGAGGAGTGCACTCACTCACAAGCAGGTTTAGAAGACTTCCTGCAGACTCCTAATCTAATCTGATTTCAAATAAGGGCATGGAGGACTCCTTTAGCAGCAGAGTTTCTCTTGGAGGGACTCTTGGAGGGACTCTGAAGTTGTGTAGGGTTTCTGGTGGCAGTGGGCAGCAGCTGTGCCAGGAAGTGACTTCCACTGGTGATTGTGTTTTCCATGGCTCAGTGCAGGAACTCACTCATATTGGTCTTCTCTCCATGAAATGGATGATGAGCTGCTTGAAAGTAAAATGGTTTGTCTTTTGTAATTTTTGCTACTGTTTAGCAGTGAGATTGGGGGCTCACTTGTTTTCCTCTCCACCCTGATTTTATTTGTGCTACCCCTAATAATGGAGATGCTGCCATAGAAAAATGGTTTAAAAAATCTCCTTTTTTTGTTTGCTTTGTTTTAAATGGCATCATCAACACTTTGAGGATATCTCACGGTGCAGACTCTGTAGCTAGCCTACTAATTTTGGTGTGTCTGTAGTGGTGACTTCATCTCCCACTCCATTTATCCCTGCCCATAGCCAGTAACAGCATATTCATTTAAACTTGAGGAAGATGAGATGCTGAACCTCAGGGGGCTGCCTGAGGAAGGAGAGGCTGATCAGTGGTGTCAGAGGCCTGGCTTGCCAAAGAAACCCAAGAAGCCCTCTCTAAAGTCTCACAAGATGATGTTTTCTGCCCTGTATCACATCCCTGCTCTTTATTCACGCAGGCTGTGAACTGCCCCACGTTGTTCAACAGTTTGAGTGCTGTGTGAGATTGTTTCTGAAATAATAAATCCTCCACAGAAGGGATCAACTGTTTTTACCTTTTTTTTTTTTTCCCCTCAAAAATAAAAAGTTGTGAGATGTCAGGCAATGCAGGATTTGGAAGCTTGAGAAACTTGGCCTGTGGTTTGTTCTTCCAAAACCCCAAATTTCAGTAGAGTTGGAAAGGAATTAACTGTGTTACCTGATGAGACACTGAGGTTTAGGTGCCTGTTTTCCTGCTGAGCTTCCCCTGCTGCTCCAGGGTGGAAATGAATCCAGCCATTTCCAGTGGCATTCTCCGCAATGCAAGCTTGGGTTTCTCAGCGTTCTCTGTGAAAAGCAGGAACTCTTCCTTAGCACTTGTGTGCAATATTTAGTCCTCTCACTACCCTGAACTGAGTTCAAGCAACTGCTTTTCCTTCAGCATCTTTTTGGTGGCTGGTTTTTCACAAATAGATTGACACCTCCTTTATAATAAATAAGCTGATATTGAGATGCTCACTGGGTTCAGTTGGAATTCCTGACAGTGCTGGCATATAAAGAATAATACACATAATATATTTTATGCTGGAAAAGAAAATGTAAAAACTCTTGGTAACAGAGAGCCTTGGACAAAAGGAAAAGTGCCATAAGAGTCTGTTAAAAGTGCAGTGACAGCCTGTTCAATTTGCTGTCATTCAGTGGTACTTTTGCTGATATTTTAGTTTAACTCTTTAGTCTCATCAAAATCAGTAATCTAAATCTATTTTAATAAGGAATATAATTCTGATAGTGACTCTCCATTGAGTCGCTTTGGTGATGTCCTGGTTGAAATTAGAGTTTTATAAATAAGCCTTGAGGCCTTTGCATCAAGCCAGGAGCAGTGTGATGAACCCCTTAGGATTAATGTTGGATAATAAGAAGTAGGATGTGACGTTGCCAGATGTTCCTGTAGGTTGTGACTTGCTCACTTTGCAGAGCAGTTTCCTTTAGTACAAAGAGGTGCTCCAGTTGATGGGAATAAGCCCAGTAGCAGGGCAAGATAAATACTTTTCCATGGATTAAGTGGCTTTTCCTGAAGGACAAGAGAAACTTCAAAGTGCCAACAGCTTTATCTACAGATCAGATTTTATTTTGAGCTCACTCAGGTTTTGTGGTGTCTGTGGATCCTGTGGTTGATCTGCTGGACTTTGTGGCAGTTTGGGAGGTGCTGTAGCACCGAGTGCTGCTGGATGGGCCATTCTGTAATGATTTGTAATTACTCATTGTCCTTTATTATTTTATCACTGACTGCTATTTCATCTGACTGCAGTAAGAGGGGAACTAAACCTGGCTTAAATGCAGATGGGTGCCCAGTTTTTCAGAAGCCAGGAAAATGTGCTTAAATGGATAGATGTTTTCAGTATTTACTTAAATGATCAGGAAGTCAGGGAAGCTGTTTTTATGGAACAATAGATTTGTATTTTAAATAGTAAGAAACCTCAGTAGGAACAGCTGATTTCTCTGTTTGCACCTGCTTGTTGAAAGACATGTTTGGATGACTGAAGTGTTCCAGGCAGGCCTTTGGAATTTCCCGTCTGCAGGATCACTAATCTGGACTGCTTTGAGAAGCTGCTTTCTGGGAAATGACAGCTCTTACCAGAGGCTGTTCAATCTGTGCCCTTCTTGGTGTCCACTTTACATTTCCTGGGCAGGGCAGTGAGGCAATGCACGTGGAGCACTGTCCTCTCTCAGTGCTGAAAGTCTTTGAGGATTTAGGAGATGCTTTGGCTGGTTCAGCAATGCTGGAAGCCAGAATTGTGGCTCTACAGAGACAACCTTGAGAGGAAAAGCAAGAATTGCCTTTCAGTCCTGCACTTTTCTGAGTGTAGCTCAGAGCAGCCTCACTGTAAATAACGTATTAGAGTGTGGGTGGCAATTCTTTAATTTAACCCTAATACTTAAATTCACTTCCAGCTTTAGTCCACATGAAACTCCTTCACAGAATTCCCTGAAGTGTCCCCAAAATCATCTTGTCTTACTTTGTACGTGCCCTCAGTCTTGAGAACATAACTGGGTGGATGTGTGACAGTGTTTTCTCTTGGTTATAGCAAGCAGATGAGACTCTGGATTTTGAAGAGCAGATCCTGGAAGCAGCTAAATCCATTGCAGCTGCTACCAGTGCCCTGGTGAAGTCAGCATCAGCAGCCCAGAGGGAACTGGTGGCCCAGGGAAAGGTGGGTAAACAGTGGTGGGGGAAAGCACTGAAATGGAATCTGATCTCCCAACTGTTCTCCATTAAAACAGTAGGGAAGAAGCTTGGGAACAATGATGATGATGTAAATCTTTTCACTGCTCATCACAGCACGTGGCCCAGACCTGGTTGTGTTTATAAAAAAAATCCCACAGTTGTGTTTCTTTAAACCTCACAAGTGTAATCAGAGTGTTTGGCTCCTGAGATGTTTCAGTTGTGGGAGGGGAGTTTACTGTTTGTGGGGTGGTTTTCATTTCATTAAGGTCTTGAGATCTAACCTAAACAATTTGGCACTTAGTGTTTTCTTTTGTATAACTGACTTTCTAGCTATACAAAGGTGTCACCATAAGAGAACACATCTTCTGCTTATTCAGTTAATTCCCTGGGATTCTCATTATGCAGGAATCCCTGCTTCCACTTCTTTCAAAAAGCAAGTTTCTGGTCCATGTTTCCATTTCACATCTTCCAGTTTCTGTCCCCAAAACACCCAGGCAGCTGGGGGTGAGGGCTGATAAGCAGCTGTAGAATTTAGTTCCGTTGCTTTCCTGGAATGTGGGAAGGTAACTGTGTCCTGATGGCACTGCTGCTCCAGGAGCACTCCAGTGGATGAGCCATGCAGAAAAGTGGCTGCTGTCCCCGAGTGGCACAGAGGCAATCAGGGACCTTCCCTGGGAAGCTCTCTGATCTGTACCTTCCCATAGTGCCAGAGTCAGAAGATACTCGAGAATGATGTAAATTCAAATGTTATGGAGACCAAAATAAGTTATTTCCAAGCCCAGGACATTGGAATCTACTGCTTCAGCTGTTGCCTGGGCCAAAGCTGTGGCTTCAACCTTCAGTTCTCTGGGAATTACTGGTTACTGTGGGAATTACGGGTTAGCCTGGTAATTACTTCAGCATGTCCCAAGAATGGGTCAGTTGAGGCAGAACAGCAAGTTGGACAGTGCATGAGCAGCCAGGTGTGTGCTGGGAACACACTGACTCTGCCAGAACACACTTACTGTGCCAAGGAACTTCAGCTGGATTTTCTGCTCCTCCCTGTGCTGGGCAGTGTCACAGGTACAGGTGTTTCCTTTCTCCAGGGGTCACTGCTTGCCTAAATCAGAGACAAGGCACTGTTTCTGTTTCCCTGTGAGCCACCTGTGAACTGTCTTTTCAGGTTGGAGCAATCCCTGCCAACGCAGCTGACGATGGACAGTGGTCTCAGGGACTCATTTCTGCTGTGAGTAACTGCTTCTCTTGGGAAAACCGGCACCTCCTCTGGGGCAATGAT